GAAATTCTCGCAATTCTAGTGAGAAGACTTGACCAGTAGAGTTCAACTATATTTGGGTGTGAAGCAGTATTCACCGAAAACAGTGAATGAGGTTGAGCAATACCATGAATTGATAGAAGTTTTTTCAAGTACTCTAACACAGGCAACGTTATTATAGATATAAGTTTGGAGTCATACAATTCAATAGTAGCAACTTAGGTTCTTGAAATGCAACTAATGTTCACGCATCACAATTGTATGCTGCAATCGTCGTTCTCCATTTTTTCAACGATCATCTGAAGTGACCTTTCTTCATACATCTGCAGCCGCTTGTTTAATCGAAGATCCTTACCGTAAAGTTTAAACATTCATAAAATGTCATTATATTTGTTCACACATACATAACTGTACGCTATATTCATTTAATCTTAATCAACGCATGATTATCGTAATCATTATCCACTCCCGCCGAACTGTATATCAGAGTTTGGAGTCAGTCTCTCTAAAAAAAACACTCATAGTCGAGTTAGTTTTGTTTGTCCGGCATACACAGTCGTAAGTAATAGTATTTTCTTCATGCCTTACTACGGTTCCTCAAAAAAAGAGGTCGAGTGCATCTCTCTTCAATGACACAAACCATGCTAGGCTTCACGATCGAAAAGGAATGTGACTCCTAGTACCTCGTATCCGAAATTATTATTCTGTTCATTCTATTTAATATATACTCAACGAAAACTCGATGTCTACGGTCGTAATACCGACGACAACGTATACTGACTTCACGTTTTATATTTATTATCACTTGGACAGCAACAATGAGTAATATTCAATACAGTTATCATTTTACGACTTGATTGTCCTTACCCTACGAAATACAAAATCATCAATTGTTAATCGACATCTAACTCTACTGCAACTTATTAAAACATGTTCATATTGAACTATTCTTTATTCGTATATTTTTTAAGCGTCACAAATTAATTCCCAATATGTTCCTACCTATTTATTTTCCCAATTTTATTCCGTTCTCATAAACGCGAACCATTAGTCACGTTATTTTCCCGCTACTCTAAATTGCTCATGCGATCGTGTTATTTTACTACACCGACAGTCACACTACGGGATCATGCTAATTTTTTTTATAATCATCACATGCTTCCATTTTCATTCGTGTCCACGCCTATACAATACAATATTCTGATATATTTTGTTGCATAAGTCATGCTTCGTCGCATTGAGTTGGTTCATTCACCATCTCTACTTCAATTCACTTTGCTTGTACGCTTCGTACTCTCACATCTGTCCGTGTGAACGGTTGTCTAGAAATAAACTCATCCAACTGAATCCGTATTCGGTTTCTTATTACCGCTATCGCACAAACGGGGTTCACTCAAGTATGATGCATGGAAATTGAAGGGAAGATTTATTTCAACGCTTTATCGATCATTCGTCCAAACTGAAGTCAGGTTGAGGCTAACCTAGTTGCATAGCTCTTATCTAGGGGATTTTATTCTTCAGAGCTCTAAAACATGTACTAGGAAGGTTAAGAAGAGTTGTCACTATGGAATCAACAATGGACACAATATCAAGATTGAAGATACTTTCACAGCTATATAGTCAGTCTCGAGTATTTTATCAAAAGAAGTAAAAATACACCTCCACATAACAGAAGTGATTGGTATCAAATCGAAGAAACATAACCTATGCGTGTATAGGACTGATATACATTCAATTCTTTTGTTTCTTATTTTGTTTCCTAGTTTAACTTAATGTCAACCATTAAACTGGAGTTTTTCTCCAGTCATCATCATTAGAAACCACTGGATGCGAACTCGGTGGTCTTAATGTCAATTGCTTGCCATGAGATCAGTGAATGCCCACTACTGAATAGTTCCATACTAGCTTGAAACAGTTGCCTAGTTCATTCAGGTTGTTCAACCGAGATCAGTGCTTTGTTTAAAGCAGCTATAACTTATGAGAAGTTAGCTATTCATTGTCGCCGTATTAATTCCACCATATATGTTGAAAGTTTGCGCGCAAGACCAGATGTCCTGTGTTCAAGGGAATCTGCACTACCAATGAGTCCTATACTAGATCGGAGTGTACATGCCTTGCTCGCAAGTTTCTCAGTAGTGGTCTAACAGCGAAACTAATCAATCTTTACAACACGCCTTTATTAGAGTATTTTACATTTACACTGACCATACTAAAAGGATCATTATTTCTCTTGTTAGCTCTCTATAAGTTTGTCGTCATTCATTAATATATGTGTCTGTCTACATTTGTAACAATTTAATAAGTCTCCATTCTATTAACTTATTGATTGATTCATTTAGATCTTGTCTATCACAAGTGAGAAATCCAGCTTAAAATCTAAGAATCAATCAATATGTTTTTCGATCTATTGTATGTTTTTAAACAGCTGTTCAGATGTATATATGATGTTAAATTTCTGCATAAAAGATAAACTCAACCAGCAGGATTTGTATTACTCTGTCGAGAATCCATTTGAATTATTATTGTTCTGGTTAGCGTTTCTGTTACATTTTCTACATGATAGAATAAATTCTAGGGCTTAGGACCGGCCGAGGAATGCCCATTAAGTCGAGAATCGGAGACATACATCAAAAGAACGAATGGCAATTGGATAGAACGAGAAAGGAAGATCCAGGATATAGTAGGTTGGAGAATGCTGGAGGGCGGCCTATGCTCCACGAGGCGTAATCGGTGTAACTAAGTAAGCTCAAAATCCGTAGTACAATGCTCTTATTTTTTCAAACTTTACCTGCAGTTCGGTATCGATGCCAATTGCCTCGAAACAGCCATTAGGTTAGAAGCACGACAAAAAATAGATATGGATAGTAAACTAACAGCGAAATCCGGAACGCATGTCTCATCCTCTATTTGAGTTTCGTCAGCCGGATGCACTTTTACATCTTAGAAGTGATAATATACATCCCAGGAAGAACCCATTGCTACTGTTCGTTTCAAGCACCGATCGTGTTATCTATCCACTTAACTAATGAGTCGAAATAGTCACTGGCGACGATTGATTTACCACGTAGAGTAAATTTCTGACTTTGCGCATTTATCAGACACGGATAAAAATAATATGTAGTTTGTCGGGATGCGCAAAATAGGTGGTTTCATCCTAGTGTAGGCCACCTCAATGGCGCCTCCTAGCTACGACGTTCAGGTGAACGCGCTTACACACTTTGTAGACCCAGTAGAGATTGAGAAAAAATGTTAACTTCTATCTTTTCTTAATTCAAAAAGTACAGTGGGACAAAACTAAAAGCTTATCAAACGGACCATCACAACTAGAGTCTTACACTGTCAGTTCTCTTTGTTTCATTTAAAAAAAAAAACAACAACAACACTGTTGATGAATACAGACTAAAATGGTTATGACATCATCATCATTAACAAATAAAAAGTAAAACAAGATAGATAGTCGTCCAAAAGACAAATAATTATTTATCAATGTAATGATAAAGATTAAACGGAACAGGCACGCACGCACAAGCACATGCACACACACGCACACACACGCATGTTCGTTCCATTGCTCGGTAAAATCTAAGAAGTAGTAAATATGTATGGTATAATGTAGTTGTTGTACCGAAAGCAAATCCATACACAGAGCACATGCAAATAATAATAATAAGAAGAAGAAGAAGAAGCAGAAGAATAAAGGCAAGAGAGAACACAACAAGTAAACAAAATGAGAAAATGGGAGTGTACACGAGTCAAACTGATTGTGATTAGACCAATAAACAATATGCACAAAAAAATAAATACTTCTTCATTGGAAAGAAGTAATTTACAACAAACACTTTCATATATGAGTGTGTGGCATTCAGAAAGAAAAAAACAGATTCCGAAAACATACAGCAGGTAAGTAGTGTAGTACGTACAACTAACTCGAAAATAATGTTCATTGCAATAGGTAATTAAAAATGAACTGGAAAAACAGAGAGAGAGAGAGAGAGACACTATTCACTGACAGGGGAAAGACGACGACGTTATCGCTATGAATAATTGTCGTTAGAAAACTGACTACTCTTCTCTCTCTCTCTCTCTCTCAATCTCATATTCATGAGAGGAATGGCCCAATTCTCTATTATGTAAGAGGAAATACACACATACATAACAGTACGAACAATGATATTGATGATATATAATAAAGCAAATTATTATTAGATTAAGTATTCTGCTAAAAACAATACTTAGGCCACATGCAAACACACACAAACCAAATAGACTACAAAAAAAAAGTAAGAAGAAAACTATGCATATATGTATATGTATATATATTTATGGTATCATCAAAATTACTAAATGAAATTTGCAACATGTGTAAGTATTGTAAAATTTATTTTTAATTCACTGATACAGAGTGTGTTGGAAGTAGTATATATATATATATGAATGGTTTTTGGAAAGGAAGACACAATTTAAACGGTCGCGGCGGCGACATCATCATCGACAATTGGGAAAAATAATAGAAGAGAGAGAAACACAGCAGGAAAGAACAAAATGATTTAATAAAAAGATCAATGTCTCTGAGAAAGAACAAGGGAAGAGAGGAGAGACGATAGGGACTAGAAGAGTAGCATTTCACAGTGAATAGTTTACTCTCTATGATGAGCAATAATGATGAGTAGTTCTGTAATATATATATATATATATATATATATATATATATATATATATATATATATATATATATAAATTCTGAGTTTTATCATAAACTGGACTATTATTTTGTAAGTCATGGATTCTAAGATGTTGGTATATGTATATGCTTGATAAATAAATGCATTTTGAAAAGAGAAAATAATCATAATAATTAGAACTAAGGCGATTGATTGGACAAATAAACAAACAAACCAACAAACGAGCAAAATAAGAAAATTGAAAATATAAAGAAACACAATGAATGGATCATCTCACACACACACACACACTGTTCTGTTGACTAGATCTATTCACTGCTGCTGTTGTTATTGGTGTTAAAGTTAACGACCACATTCAGAGCACATAATCATCTCGTCACTGGTAAGAAAACCTCGACCAACTAGATTACAATTACATTTTCCACAAAGAAAACATTCTGAATGCCAATGACGATCTTCGAATGAAATGAATTTACAACCACCAAATCCTATATTTTTTTTCATAAAATAAATTAAGAAAAGATCAGTAGGAAATATGGTTCAAACAATTTACGGTATATACATATATATAATACTACCAATGCCCATATCAGTCAATCAGCCACAACGTAGAACTTTGTACGTACGTACGTACATCGATTCAGGTGGCCATGCCAGATTAGCACAGATTGATGAAATTGTCAATTCAAATCCCATACTAGTAGATGTAATAGAAGTATCAGTGGTATTCGAAAAGATTAGAGACTGGAGACATGATTCGAGAAGTATAATCACCACTGAGGTTGAGTTAAAAAGAAATGAAAGGTCATGAGGAATTCAGAATTTGAGATAATAAGAAGAATGGATGCACATGCGCCACTGCAAACGATTTTGAGCCATGCCATTTGAAGTGTCTAACCGTCTCGTGGACCCCGACTTGGTAGTTTACACCTATAAATATGGCTCAGTCCGAGGGTTAGTGGCTTCATAGATTTGTGCCATATTATGATGGTCTGGCCACCCCTAGCTACGCCCATATTGAAAACAAGAGCTGTCACGTTGATTTCGAGAAGTATCACTATGTATTCTGTCAAATTATAAAGAAATGCTGTGTTTCCTGAGCTGGATGGTTTCGGCTTAGAGTGCACAATATTTATTATCCATATTCCTGTTCTCTAGTCAATCCCTACTACATGACAGGGAACAAATGTCACCATACCACATTATACAACTGGGATGGAACTAACAAGATGCAATACTGTGGTTGTAACAACAATCGAATAAAAAGATTAGGCATTGAGAACATAGTTCCAAAAAACAGAACGACCAAGATATTTTCGAGACGATTACTTGAATTCACGATTAATAAGAAGATAACGAGCAAATGCCTCCACCTTATAGTAAACGATTATGAGCCTTTATTGGGCTACGTTAAATTCGAAGTCAGGCACACCACTCTAGTAGCCCATGATCTGACTTTAATTTGGACAAACAGGCAAGTATGCGATGAAATAAATATTCCCTGCAATTTCCGCATATCATACCCGTTTGTGTGACAACAGTAATAAGGAGTCGAATACGGATTCAGTTAGATGAGTTTATTTCTAGACAATCGTTCACACAGACATCAGATAAGAATTGTACAGGTAAACTGAAGCGAAGTGGCAAAAGCGAGCGAGCCAACTCAATGAGATGAGACGTGATTAAGTATTTGTAGTCGGGAGAAAATACGCTAGACATGGTATTAAGCATAGTAAGCATGCACATACGCACTCAAGTAAAAACAACCAGGATCATGAGTGAAATAACGGACAAAGTCAAAAGACGAGTGAATAACCGGACAAGATTAGATCAATTAATTTGTTCAGAGGCTATAGAGTAAGCCCTGTGGGCTTGGCATATTAGTACACACCAAGAGCCTAATCAACGAAACGGACTTTTCACCTGACCACTTAGAAAATATATGCAATAAGTAATGATGCATAAAAAACAGATAAACACCTTCATATTCAAACTGGTTTGTCGAATTTCAAATAGCACTCTTTCCCTCTACCCATCTGAAAAAGCGTAGAATAAATGTTTCAACAGCACTTATTTTAAAAGACTACATGCTGATGGTTTTCATTATATGGTCGTGAGTTGAATTCCAATGAAATTATGGATCGGTCAGTATTAGACCATCATCAGAAATGTGTGGACACTGGGTGGCCCTTCCGTCGACTGATGAGACTTGGAGGAAGCCGGCTGAAGACCGAAGGTCCTGGTTCCGAATCCTACGAGTAGCATGAGTCATGGACGCGCAATGCTGATGAGTCCCATGCGAGAGCGAAATGGCCATCCAGTGGTTCCAGGCTTCTAATGGTGGTCTAACAATGCTTCATTCATGATTTCAAGGTGAATAATAAAAACTGAGTGGCTAACAGATTTCTTTTCAAATCATTTCCACAGTTAAATGGATAAAAAAAAGTCTTAGCAATTTTATCAAATACCAACAAACAAAACTTACCAGTAATTGGTTTGGTACATTTTGTGCATTTTTTAGCAAATAATTCACCATAACAATCTGCACAATATGGTTGTTCATCTTTTGAAGTGAATTTTAATCCAGCTAATTGTTTTGCACAATTGGTGCAAGTGAAACATTCTTTATGCCATGGATTCCCTTTGTACGTAACACCACCACGACGTATAACCTGAAAATAAATGTGAAAAATAAATATTATATACATGAATACAGTGCGTAATCATTAGTGCACAAGAAGGCACCCAACTATACACGCGCCATACAATTAAATCAATTTATGTATGAGCTAGATTATACTGTCTGGGTGTGCAAAATGAAAAACAGGTGATATTTTTTCTAGGGGATAAGTCTTCGAACATTTTATCTACAACTGCATGTCTAATCCACCTACAAGGCAGTAGAGCGACGTCAAACGATACAATTTTACGACAGACGGTCATCAACAATAGATCCATAGTCAATTTTCGTTCCCAGAGTCGATGTACACTAATGGTTTGAAATGACGGTTTTCTAAGTGGATTCTCTATACAGTCAGTCAACAACAACGTTAGAACTTGATACGTACATACATCAGTTCAAGAAGACATACCATATCAGCACACAGGGATCGAATTGTTAATTGAGATTCCATAGTGGCAGATATATTAGCGGTATAGGAAAAGGTTAAGGATCGAAGACATGATTTGCGAAATATATCCCAGTGGAATAAATTCAAGAGAAAGAACGGTAATGAGGAATTCAGAAGACTTGAATTTGAGAGAAGAAAGATAATGCATGCATCTGCGCCATTGCAAGAGATTTTGAGTCACGCCATTCAAAGTCTCCCATCACCGGTTACGACTGCCTGGTGGACCCCGACCGGGTAAAAAGGCCTATGAACATGGCTCAGTTCAGTTCTCAGTGACGTCATGATTTGTGCCATGTATTGGGGATTATCCACACCAACCAGCCCGGTTTGAACTTCTGTCGGACATTCGTTTACGCCTTCTCGATTTTGTAAACAATAACCCCGTCACAAAAAGGCAGTTATTATACACTCTGAACTGTACCAGAGCGCATTGGGAGGGACGTTCACTGTTTTCTATTATTCAATGCATTTCTAGCTAGAAAATCGCCCAAATTTAATTCAAATACTCGTATTAACAACAAATAGAAACCTACATCGGAACATTTAGTACAACGTTGAGCATATTTCGCTTCATAACACGGTACACAGACAACTTGATTTTCTCGTGGTATAAAACTTTTCGTACCAATTGGTTGTTTACATTCTACGCATAGAAAACATTCTTCATGCCATTGTTGGCCACGATATTCATATTTTCGCATTCCAGCTTTGAATACACCTTGACAACCATCACATCGTGCAGCAAAACGTTCATCATAACAATCCGAACAATATAATTGTTCTTCTTTTGTAGCAAATGGTCGATCAGCTAGTGAAGTTGTACAAGCGGAACATTTAAAACATTTCTCATGCCAATGTCTTTCTTTAAATGATAAATCCTATGACGAAAAACAAAAAATAAAACAACAACAATATTCATTGATGAAAATATGAAACAAATTCTAATTTTTTTTTTCTCTAAAGAAAAAAAAAAGATAAATTAGACAACACAATTTGAACAAATTCAGAAATTGAGAGAGATATAATCTCTTCAATGCAAAAAAGTGAAAATACAACACGTCTAATGAAGTAGACATTGGTGAAGTGAAGGAGACAGTTCAATGTTAAACTCTATTTTGTTTGAAATCTGGCATGCATTATTGACAATTGAACAGTGATTCATTTGTTAAGAGTATACAAAGAATAACTAACAATATAATACACATTTATGAATATGAAGTACATTCTGTGTAGTGAGGAAAGAGAAAAAAAACACTAACACAGCAATGATGACCGGCTATAAGAGTTGAATTTCAAAGACAATGATAATGAGTGGTGTGCATTGAGAAGAAATGCTAATTTTGAGAAATTACATAATAGATACAAGGAGCACAATATTTACAACGAGATACAAAGCAATACACCTATGTATGTATTGATATGTATGTAGGTAGGTAGAGTAATAGGCATTAGGGGGGGAGTGAAGATGAATAGATCTTTTCACCTGCCTTAATTGTATCACATTGCCATGCTTGTCCAATGTTATAATAACCAGGACCATAGATATATGGCATTGAATAATTTGATTGGAATTTAACATTCGGTTGTTGTGAAGATAGTGATGGTGATGATGATGTATAAATTGCATTCCGTACAGGTTCTAATGCATCCCGAACAAGTGATGTGATGCCAATTTCCGAATTTAGCATACCCTAATAATAATAGTCAGGTACAAGTAGCAGATATATATATACAACAAGAATGTAAAAAAGTTTTCTTTTTAACACAGGATTGTAAGCAGTACAGTAAGTAGTATGAAATGTACTTAATTAAATGAGATAATCTGAATACAAATTAAAATAACAGTTTGCAACATAGAAGAGTAGTCATATTGAACAGGGGAATAGTAGTAGTAATAGTAGTATTCAAAAGTATGTGATAATAAGGATAGCGATTCAAAGGCCGGATTGATTAGATACAGAGATATGATATGCGAACCGCGAAATCATCAGGTAATCAAACATTGTTTATGGAAAATACTCATGTATAATATTATAAACTTGTTATGTTGTATAGAAGAAATTCAATGGAAGTGTGTAGAGTATTTTACCTGCAAAATAGAAAATTTTGAAGCTACTCACACTTACTGACATAAAAATGACTGACTGTTATGCAATACAAAGACTACTGTAAACATGAATAACCCAGTCAGTTAGCTACAACGTAGAATTTCGTACGTACGTATGTTAGTTCAAGTTGCTATACACAGAGATGCAACTGTCAATCAAAATTTCATAGTGGTAGAGGCAGTAATCGGAAAGATTAGGGTTCCAGGACACTATTCAAAAAGTATGATCCAGTGAAATAAATTTAAAAAGAGGAATACGGTCATGAGGAATTCAGAAGATTAGAACTTGAGAGGAAAGAAATGATGGATGCATCAGCAACATTGCAAACGATTCTGAGTCAAGCCCGACCATAGCTGCTACCTTGACGTGGTGGTCGGAATTGACTATCGTGGTGACCCAACCCAGCTATATTGGATGGAACATATGTTCCTCCAGGTTCTACCATGCCAGGCAGGTCGATTGAAGAACAATAAGACTAAAAGCAACGACTCAAGGTCTAAAGGTGAAGTCATATTGTTGACAGCAGTGAGGTGTTTCCCTTTGAGTAACCAGCATCTACAGTCATGCTGTTTTCTCACAGAGAAGGAATGGGTTAGAAAAGGTCGATCCTAAAAATGTCACACCTCACCTCAGCCCAGGGATTTCGGTCTATGCTAAGGCCATCTGGAGAGTGGAGCTAACACTTTACAAACTCTCCCTAAAAGAGCCGTGCGTGCCCGACCTCAAGCAGTTATCCCTGGTTCTGCGGTAACGCTCCCAGGTCTTTAAGATCAACACCAATCCGATTTCCTTTTCAGTTCCTTCAAGAAGCACCCTTTCATGGCGTGGGCAGCCACGTAACATCCGCCCTCATATGCGTAACAGCACACGAGAACAAATCAGTCACAATCAAACATGACTAACTAGTGCTTCCATAAAAAAATTATTAAAATTACTTAAATACCATGTGATACTATGTGAAAGTAATGTATACAGACAATCTAATCAGAAATTTAAATATCGTTTTAAATTTGTAGAACTACGCTTGTACAATGCATCAAAATGATAGCGGGGAATTGAGCTTCGTTTGACCATAGAGTCGAGATGATAAAGCTAAACGTATTAAATGTACAATTCGGTCGCAAAATCCTAACGTAATCCTGAAACAAACCAAAACTTGGTGCCGGATTGATTTCAGGTGTTATATATCTTTATGCTCACTGTCTAGGAGGCGTACGCCTGAATTGCTCACATATAAAGATATAATTAACATGCTAGGCGATAGGTTTGACAATTTGAAGGAGCGGGTTGTGAACAATAAACTTAAACCAGTATCAATCTGTAACAAAAACAGCTAATTCTAGCTCAAACGAACACACAATGTGGGGGACTCTTTAAAATTCGTATAGAAACTTTTATCAGGATTGGAGAGGAGATATCTATCATGGACTTGGATAACTATGTGTAGTTGTGTTCTTTCAATATACATGCAGAGCAACCTGTAGAAGACATTAATGTATTGAACAGGGTTCACATGGCAATATTGTTGTCTTCATTTCCATAAAAGATACATTTATAATAATATAACTGTTATCTGATTATGCTAGAAAGTAGCTGAAAATTCGTTGCGGTTGTTTCATGCTCCTCTCTATATATACTATTCTGTGGATGAATTATTAACTTGTTCAGCCAAATCTTTATGTGCTTAAAAAACAAACATGAATTACGCTCATGTGTATTGTCTTTCGTCAGTTACTACAAATAAACTATTTCACTCTATCTATCCATATGCCAAGATGACAGCGTACAATCAGTAGCATCGTCAGTTGGAATCCTCAAGGCTCCGTCCTACTATACAGATGCGAAACATGGCCAATGAGAGTAGAAGATATTCGTAGGTTACTTGTTTTCGATCATAGGTGCCTCCGAAGCATTTCTCGTGTATCGTGGGACAACCGAGTAAGCAATGCTGTCGTTAGGAAACGGGTGCTAGGTAAGGATGGCAAATCAATAGATGAAGTAATGAAACTTCATCAGTTGAGGTGGTTGGGTGGGACATGTGTTACGTATGCCTAACCACCGACTGCCTTGTCGAGCTATGTTTTCCGATGTAGTAATAGGTTGGAAGAGAGCTAGGGACCGCCAGACCAAAACACAGCACAAAACCATGAAGTCACTGACAAGTGGACTGAGCCATGTTGGTAGATGTAGGGTACCTGGTTGGGGTCCGCGAGATGATAATAACCGATGGTTAGAGACCTTAAACGACACGACTCCGAATCGTTTGCAATGGCGTTGTAGACAGACAGACAGATACAACGCAGAGCTTCGTATGTATGTACATCAGTTCAGGTTGCCATACGTCATTAGCACAGAGACGCAACTGTCAGTTCAAGCCAATAGTGGTAGAGACAGAAGTAGTATTAGCAGTAATGGGGAAGATTAGGGTTCGAAGATATGATTCGAGAAGAGAATGATGGTCAACAGCTCATGCTCCATCTGCAATAACAGGTGTAAGTAAGTAGACTTTATCAGTATGATCACTTTTTTAACAAGCTCTCATTATTCTTCTTAATTGAGTATTATTGAACTGTCTCCATTCGTCTGTATAAAGATCAATAATACATTGGGTGCAAGACCACATAATGTGTATAAAATATAATATACCGTGTAGATTATTAAAACGTATCAAAATGAATACGTCTATAGTCTTACTCTTTTACTATTCTATCAAATAGTCAGCTGATCTCATGATTGTTTACATACAGAACATTTTTAATGTGAAAGGTAGGCAAATTTGTGTGTCACTTTGTGTATGTAGTTTCTTTTTGGTAAACTTTAGTCACATTTTAAAGTGGAATCGATTGAAAAGAAACTATTACTATCAGCAACTTTTTAAACAAACAGGCAAACATGTAATACTGATTTAACTTTAAGTAAGCGAACTTTTAATAAAAATTATACCATGTAGTAAGTATACGCTGGATAAGTTTTAAGATAGGGAGAACAAGAAGGCAACAATCAGAAGTAAATAAGCAAGTGAAGAGAAATATCAGAGCTGATAAACGTATATATGTGAGAGAGCTAGCAATGACGGCACAAAAAGCTACAGGAGGAGGAAACTTGAGACAACAGGGCGATGGAACGAAGAATCTCGCTGGAAAATATCGTAAAACAGCACAACCAGTGCAGAACAAGGATGGTCAAGTGATGTCAAATAGATACTGAAGAATAGCGAAACACATCAGCAGAGCACTAAGAAGTAGTCGTGAATCGACCAGACCCTTCGAACCGACTCAACATCGATGCAGCACACAAAAAGCTGCCAACTGATGTCGAACTGCCAACAATTGATGAGATCAGCATGGTCATCAGACAAATCAAGAGTGACAAGGTAGAAGGACCAGAAAACATTCCAGCTGAGTACACGAAAGCAAACATAACAGTAATTGCAAACGTAAAGCGCATTCTCTTTAGGAAGATTTGAGAGGAAGTACAAGTAATAACAAACTGGAAAGAAAGACATCTGATCAAGATAGTCAAGAAAATAGATCTGAGAAAGTGTGAGAACAAAAGGGGCATCACTCTGCTCTCAGTACGTGGGAAGTCTTTAACAGGGTGTTGTTGAAGACAATGAAGGACTGCGTAGACGGTCAACATTGAGGTCGGCAGGCCGCATCCCATAAGGACCGACCATGTACCAACTAAATCGCAACACTACAGATCGCAGTGCGATAATCAACTGAATGGAAATCACCACTGCACACCAACTTCCTTGACTACGAGAAAGCATTTGCCAGTGTGGAAATTACGACACTGGAGGCTTCCTCGATACCATAGCGTGCCTGAGAAGACACAATATTAAACGGAATTGTTATGATGGACTATACCTCAAAACCATGCATGGAGGGCAGCTCATAAATTCGTTCTAAGTAAAGATCTGTGTCAGGCAAGGTTGCCTACTCTCAGCCTTTCTCTTTCTTGTAGTGATTGACTGGATTATGAGGACATCAACATCCCTGGGGTAGTATGGAATACAGTACATAGTGCGGATGCAGCAGGGTGATTTGGACTTCAAAGCAGTCCCAAACACAATAACAAACGCAGATGAAGACGGCCAATGTGGCAACAACCTCCGTAGCAGGTCTCAACATACGAGAAAAAGCAGGAGCCTCCGATGCAAAACAAGCACCAACTAGAACACACTTGACGGAGAAGCTTTGAAAGCCGCAGAAACCTTTACATAAAGGGACAGCGTCATTGATGAGAAAGGTAAATATCAACATCAACAGCAACGTAGAACTTTCCACGTAAGTACAGCAGTTCAAGTTGCCATACCACGTTAGCACAGAGATAATTGTCAATTCAAATCCCATAGTAGTAGAGGTAGTAAGAGTATTAGAAGCAATCGGAGAGATTAGGGTTCAAAGATGTTATTCAAGAAGTATAATTCAGTGAGGTAAATTTAGAAAGAGGAAGATAGAGGTGATGGGGAATTCAGAAGGATAGAATTTCATAGAAAACTATGAGTGGATGCACCTGCACCATTGCAAACGATTCGGAGTCGTGTCGTTTAAGGTCTCTAACCATCGGTTATTATCATCTCACGGACCCCAACCAGGTACCCTACATCTACCAACATGACTCAGTCCACTTGTCAGTGACTTCATGGATTTGTGAGATGTTTTGGTCTGGCGGTCCCTAGCTCTCTTCCAACCTATTACTACATCGGAAAACATAGCTCGACAAGGCAGTCGGTGGTTAGGCATACGTAACACATGTCCCACCCAACCACCTCAACTGATGAAGTTTCATTACTTCATCTATTGATTTGCCATCCTTACCTAGCACCCGTTTCCTAACGACAGCATTGCTTACTCGGTTGTCCCACGATACACGAGAAATGCTTCGGAGGCACCTATGATCGAAAACAAGTAACCTACGAATATCTTCTACTCTCACTGGCCATGTTTCGCATCCGTATAGTAGGACGGAGCGAACTACGGCGCAGTACACTTGTCCTTTACTCAGCAAACGGATATCTCGCCTAAACCATAAGTGACGCAAGTTGGCAAAAGCCAATCGAGCCTTCTGTATCCGTGCTGAGATTTCGTCTCCAGGCCATCAGCACTGGTGAGACTCCCCAGATAAGTGAAGCGGTCTACATGCTCGACTACTCCACTCCCCATCAATAGTTCAGGTGCCGATGCAACCCAATCTTGAAGCAACATTTTGCATTTCGAGGATAAGAACCGCATCCCGAACATGCTTGCACTGTTCCTCAACTTGGTCAGAAGACTGCATTTTGTCAGCGTCTTCACCAAATATAAACTATGTCATCGGCATATTCTAAGTCGATAAGCGACCCTCCTGGTAGAAGGTCTGCTCCTGAAATTTCAGATGATAATGTTATATCTAGCAGCATGTCTATGACGAAATTGAACAAGAATATGGATAGTGGACATTCTTGACGGACACCACTTGAAGTAAAGAATTCCGAAGGCAGTTCGCCATAAGCTCTCACCCGACCAGTGTTCGAGTAGAGAGCTTGTATACGGTTAATGTACTTCTACGGTACACACTTCAATGACAGACACCTACAAAACGTCACGATCAACAAAGTCAAATACCGTTTTAAGGTGCATGAAGATAACTATTGTCGGACGCATAAATGTTTGTGTGGGACCAGGACCTGTCGTAGTGTGATGTGGTCTATACAGCCACGTCCAGATCGAAAGCCAGCCTGGTTTTCTCTAGTCTGATCTTTACGAGCTCTAGTTAGACGTCTAAGTATAATCGAGGCTAACAATTTATAAACTATACTAGCTAGACTTATTCCTTTTTTATTATCACAAGAAGACTTTTGTCCTTTCTTATAAATTGGCACAATCAGGGATTGGGATCATTATGAAGGCTTTTTATCAGCATGCGCCTGATCTGACTCCGCTCCTCAACGTTCTTAGAGCCAGAAGGGATGAGATTTCGAGCATCCATCAGTTCCGTAGATGCTGATGAAATCCACGGCCTCTCCCTAACCTTATGGTTCACCTTACTAGAAGATATCACTGATGTTTCCACAGCCTTTTTGATATCATTCCAAGTTGCCTCAGGGTGTGCATCACTTACTACATGGCTGCTTAACTGTTTTTGTAGTTGTTCCTAAAATATATTCTTAGCTTCATTATCATTAAGTAGAGCCCTAAGCGGTAAATATGATGCAGGTTGACATAGCAAGCACAGCAGTTTTAAAATTAAAGAACACCTGCAACTCAAAACAACTAACAACCAACACAAAATTCAAAATGTTCAATACAAACGTCAAAACCGTTTTATTGTGTGGAGCAGAATTTTCAAAAACTACGAACATCATCTACAAAATAGGGGTGTGTATAAAGATTTTTAACGCAACATACTGCGGCTACCACGGCAGCATTCAGCCGACATTAGCAACAGTCTAATCTGGCAGGTAACAAACCAGATTTCCACTGAGAATTAAATTAGCAAAAGCGCTAGAGGTGAATGGGAGTTCACATTGGGGAAATCACCCCAGCTGCTTTTTACTAGATAAGCTTTAAACGTGTGACAATAACTAAAATAAACTCAGAACTAATCTTCGACTTCAATAGATATTCCATTTATTTCTGAGCATAACAACTATGAAAGGACAATTAAGCTGGTTTCATAACGTTTAATTCACTACACACTACATAGAATTGTGGTATGTTCAAATGGATTGAGTTCGGAAAAGAATAATTAAAATAATACACAAGGTGACAGTTATGGGTTATAAATAACATAAAAACCCAGGGTTTATCTAGTGTTAGAAAATTTTACATTACTTTGCTAGCAAGAAACAATTACACGTACTAATCATGACCAATTAATTTTTCCAACATGATGATAGCAAATCACTTAGACGAGAAAATGGTACATTAGGCTGAAGACCACCAGCAAAAACAATCTGTTCCATTAAAATTACACATCAAGAAATGCAATTTCATTCTGTAATAAGACATATATATCACCAACAAAGAAGGCTAAGTATCTAGGATGAGAGACCATTGCTTTGTTTGATTCGATTCACTCATACAGTTAATTAGTTACAACATAGGACTTGGTATGTGAGTGCATCAATTCAAGTTGCAAAACCACGTTAGAACAGACAGAATTCTCAGCTCAAATCCTATAGTTAGTATTACCGGTAATCGAAAAGACTAGGGATCAAATATTAGATTCAACGAAATATATAAATCAGTGAAATAAAAATTTTTTTAAAGTTATGCGGAATCCCGAAGCTTCAAATTTGCAGAAAGACAGAAAATGGATACATCTGTGCCATTCCAAACGATTATGAGACGTATTACCAGAGGTCTCTAACCACTGATTGAAATGAAAAAACCAACCAGATAGTCTACATCAGTTATAACATGGCTCAGTCCAATTGTTGAAATTAACCCATAAATCTACTATCGCAGTAACAAGCCGGGTAAATTGTCCTTAACTGATGAGATTCAGGAATGAAAACAGCAGTTCAGTTTCATAGAGATGAGTGACATTCTAAAATCAAACTGTGTAACCCATGACATCTACAGTCTTCTACGCAAATAACAAGAAACCGCTTACAAAATCCAAGTAGTTAAAGACATAAAAACTGATCAGACAAAAACTATTTTCTAAAAACAATTTCAGTAAAAAATACCTCTACTCCATAATAAAATACATAATCGAAAATATTCTCAAAAAAGGTGACAAACCTTTGAATCACAGCCAATTTTCTCTTTACATTGTTCACAGGTATTTGCAAATTTAGCTTCATAACAATCTAAACAATGCGGTTCATCATCACGTAGTATATAACGTTGTCCTGTTAATGAAGCATCGCAACTATGACATGCAAAATGACTGGTATGATGTTCCTGATCCATTACTCTGGTGTATTCGTCTGAGAAAATAAGCTGTGGAAAGAAATATTAACACTTACCTAGTCAAGGATTCAGCGTTTTTTTAGATCAAACAAAAATCAGACACACGTAATGTGGTTAAGAGTCGATGATGAATGGACCAATAAGAGATGTACAACGTGACATGTGTCTACACTTCATCATAATTGACCAATAGAGACCTGCTTTATACAAAGCTAGGCACATATCATTACACAACCCAATAAAAAATGTGCAACAGTTAGATTGGTCAATGCTTCAAGTAGCCAATAGAATTTCAGCTGCTATGCCCTGGTCAGACAATAACTAACATGAATTTTTCAGTCTATTTCTCCTCATTAAACTCCATATTAGGTCGAATCATACAATTTGTCGAGTCAACCAATTATAATAGAGACAGACATATTAGTCATTATTCGAGTTGAGAGTTCAGATAATGGATTGTAGGAAAAACATATGAATAAAACTATTGGTCCATTTCCTTGCAGATAAAGTCGTAACAAAAATATGGGTATATGATTGGTGAATATTATCTATAAAAAAACTGGACTTAATTTTGATTGGATAGAACCGTAAGGACTAGTCATGAACATCAGCGGAGGGACGAAGTAATAGTCCTCTCAAAATAATGAACACCCACGTTTCGATTTCTAAGCTAATTAGGTAGCGTCGTCCATTCTTACGTCGTTTGTAGTCGTATTATTAGTATTAGTCGAATTCTGTCCGCACTTTTGGTATTCTCTTATAAAGTTTCTAGTCTGAAAGGACGTTTATTAGGTCTTTCGAACGTCTGCTCATCTACCAAGCTGAAATATCCAAAACCCTAATCCATATTTCAATTAGCTCACCCATTACACCATCGGGAGTTTTTGAGTATTCATGCTTCGGAACATATTCAGCCAAACAATATATCCGTTAGTTTTTCTCTCAATTTCCGCCCCAAGATTAGCAAAAATCATGTATGGAATTCTCCATTAGTACGACCCATGTGCTACGCTTCGAGGAAGAATAATCTGTTATGCTTATTACTGACAGACATACCCTAGAGTCGCTAACCAGTGGTGAGTTGGAATGCTACAATTGAATGCAATCGTTACAGATAAAATATAGGGCAGGAAATTAGAACATAAGGCAATTTAAGTCAATAATCACACAATGATTAAGAGAACAAGTTAATAGCAGGAAGACAGCAAAATATATTCTAGTGCAATGTTTTGAATTTTGTGCTGAGAATTTGTTACAAATCATTCATTTGCTGATTTATTTACTCGGTTTTGATCTGATGATACAACTCGGATTCTGTAAACGAAGTAATAGTGCTGAATTGGGACGGACGACCTCTCAGTTCAGATGTGAATCCTTTATTCATCAACTTAAGCTGTACAATCATCTGTCTTCTTTGTTGTGTAATTGACATCTCCAATAAAACACATCGATTCGTCTATTTCAAATATAATATACTAGGTTATATGACTACATTCAAGAATCCAAAAAAATACATCTTTATAAAAGACATAAGTTGGTTAATTTCAATTTTTATCAATGTAGAAATAGTTTTACTTTAAAAAGCATACTTACATGATCACATGTTACACAACGTGGACGTATTACCTGACCATAATGTCGTAAACAATAAGCCTTTTTATTTAAACAAGCGTATATATAATCGACTAAATATTCCTTACATGTTGTACATCGGAAACAATTCAAATGCCAAGCTGGAATAGGATTCACTGTTGAGGTATTGGAAGTCTCTTCTTCAATTAAACAATGCTCTGGTTTAATTCTTACACAAAAATCATCAAAATGAATTGTTTGTAAACAATCCGCACATGGCTAGATGTAAATTTTTTTCAGAGAAAAAATATTTCAGATGATGTGATTAGAGCTAAAAAAAAGAAACTGTTAAACGAAGCACTCTATGAACCAATCATCAAAACGTTTTAATATTCAAAGCCGAATAATCCCTATTAAGACTTTTATTCATAGACACACATTCTAGAAGTCCTAACTAATAAAGGCATCAAAACCGAACTATTATGATGGGCATTCATGCCCGATTTCCGCTTGCACGATCGTGGAAGTGTGCCTTACACTGACTGAGTCCCATACTAGAACGAAACGGCCACTCAGAACTTCTGTAGTTTTCAACGGTAATTGATTGATCGTTTCAATGAAAGTATTTAATAACAGTTTGTTGGTTTGCAGTTAGTTTAATTATAGCCTGTTAATATTCATTCATATTTCAAACTGGTCATAGTGTAGTGAACGAGAACACACACGAAAATTACAGAGTTACTCAGTAAAATCGGACAACTATATCGTAAATCGTTAATTTGCAAAAGATCAGTTCATCCTATCGAACTGGACTGTTCCTGTTGCCAAACATCAATCCATTGTCACTATTCATGCGTTTCATACAAATTCCATTGTTTTCTAACTCTTCCTTTCTTGATCTTCCCCCATATTATGCTGCCGGACATTACGTTTACACTTACGTCATTTCAAAATTTGTCCCACTTAAAGTTTTTAAGAAGGAACAAATACTAGGTATATGGATTAACAAACCAGAGCTTTACTTAAAAATGAAATACACATTCAAATTTTTCTCTAACTTTATCGCGTCTCAGGTTTCATTGATCTTACGAAATTTCATGAGACACATTTATAATTTAGTATCCATGTTTTAATATTATGGTAGGTTTCACATGTTTATCATAAATTCTAAATTAATGAAAAATACCTTATTTTTTCGTTTACTCTAATAAGATTACGTGTTATTGCTCTCTACACTGCATAGCTAACTAGCACTACTCTATTCAACTTCAACACAACTCAAATCGAGAACGAAATCTAATGTTGACTGATTTTAGAACTAGATATCAACTCAGTCATTCAAAGGTTAGAAACTCAAATAAAGGTTCTGAAGATCTCTTCTAGGTTTGACTCTAAGTGAAGTTATTGTTATTATTCTCTCTCTACTAATTAGTCCTGTACTTTTTAGACAAGAATATCACTGAAGTTTTGTAATTTGACAAAAACAAAGTAAAGTGGAATTAGAAATATGACCCTTTCATTATTGTGCAAGAAATGTGAAATATGCTTGCGAAAAAGTGTCAATAATAAATTAGACATTATTTTTACAATTTTTTCATTTATGTTCATCAAAATTGAACTACAAAAATACACCAAACATAATTTTGTTTGAATATTTATGCATTTTGAAGCATAGCCACGAAAATTGTATACGGTATTTAACTAAATTAGGTTGATACAGTTAAAAATGATTTACAGCATCGTTGAATTCCTTTTTGTTGTTAGACTAATCAATAATTTATTTCAAGTGTCTATGTTTTCACAAGTTTTAGGGTCCGATTCGCACTTGCTTACTTACTTACTGCTCTTGCATCCAATAGAGCGTTGGCCGCCAACTAGCATCCTCCAGCCTACTCTGTCTTGGGCTTTCCTTTACTGTTCTACCCAACCGTTGTTCATTCTTCTCACGTCTGTCTCTATTCCTTGGCGTAATGCGTTCTTTGATCTTCCTCTGTTCCTTTGGCCTTGAGGATTCCAAGTGAGGGTTTGCCTTGTGACGTAGTTCGATGCTTTACCTCATGTGTGTCCTAACCACTTCCACCGCTTCTTCCTGATTCCTTCCTCTGCTGGAATCTGGTTCTTTCTCCCCACAGTCGGTGATGGTTCTGATGGTGTCTGACCGACGGATCCTCAGTATCTCGAGTAGAGAGCTTTAATGAACACTAATACCTTGAGGATGATGGCTTTCGTAGTTTTCCACATTTCAGCCCAAAACAGCAGAATTATCTTGACATTTGTGTAGAAAATTCTGACTTTGGTGTTGGTTGGTAGTTTTTTTGAGTTACAGATGTTTGTCAGTTGTAGAAATGCTGCCTTTGATTTACTGATCCACGCCTTCACATCCGCATCAGATCCACCTTGCGCAACGATTCTCGGTGGGAAACTATCATCAAGACGTGATATTGAAGAAAGTCGATTCATTACTTGATCAAGGTCCCAGTCTATAAATCTTTGCCTGGATTAAAACTGTTCACATTCTTATTCAACGCTTAGTTTACTCCTTCAGGACTTTTGATATCGTACGTGAACACTTAATCTATGAAGCACTGATCTCGTTTTCACGGTCGTATATACGCATTGCAAATCAGCCCCAAACTTGGATAAAACGATCAGCCAACATTTTATTATTATTATGATAATAGGGCCATTTGTTTCATGCAAATAAAGAATAAAATATGAAATCATGAGTGCATTACTGTGTTAGACCAGTATTAGAAACCTAGAAGCACTGGACGGCCGTTTCTTTCTGGTGTGGCACTCATCAGTGGTATTGTGCATCCACGACTCCTGCTACTCACAGGAACTGAACACTTCGATCCTGCGCTCGAAAGCTTAACCTTTGGGCCTTTGAGCTTGCGAGAACCATGAGTCATGCATGGACACTGTTGCTGAGTCCCTTACCAGAACGAAACGGCCGTCCAGTGCTTCTATATTTCTAATACTGGTCTAACACAATGATTCATTCATGATTTCAATGTGTAAAAACAACAATCTTCATCATACTAAACTGCAAAATAATAAATGAATTCAAAACGTATATGAGCAGTTTTATTTACCTGTCCATCATTTTCATTCATATGTTCCACAAAGCCAATACCAAAATCATGAGAATTACGAGTTTTGGTAAATTGTTTTGCTTCATATAATTCAGTTTTTAAATTCAGCTTTATATTATCATCGTTTACATGACAGGATAATTCTTCAATTGTAATAAATGGTTTACGATCTTGTAATGGTATTTGTTTCCGAAAGCGTTGACTTCTAATATAATCAGCAATTTGACCAGATGATGGTAATTCAGTATTTGACAGACTGTTTAAAAATAATTTTACCTAAATTTAAATTTGAATAAAAGAAACAGATATTTGATGATGGTTCTTTGTATTATTTTTCATTATAGAGTCGAACGGATTGTTGAGTTTTGTTTAAAATAATGAATTAGTCACTTTTCAGGCAACCAATGGAAATCTGGAAGCACAGGATGGTCGTTTCACCATAGTAGCGACCTCCTCAGCAATACGCACCAATGACATACACTAGCGGGAATCGAACTCACGACTTCCGGTCTCAACTACAGACGCTTAACCTTTAGACCACCGAGCCAGCTGATGAGTCCCATACTAGGTAGAGTTGGTGATGGTCTAACAATGATCGGTTTGTGAGTTCAATGAAACTCATCAAACTCCATAACCCTATAATAAATAACTATAAAATTTATTCATCACTAGTGACTGGCTTAGTGAGGTTATTCCGCCAAGTCCCAGTAAGAAGTCGTGACCAGTGAAACTCAACCCTACCGGGTGTGAACCCGCACCAATAGAAGACAATGCATTCCATCGCATATTTAAAACTGAAAGTCAAAACTCTCCATGACCTTGTAGGGGAACGCTTCTACGAAGAAAATACGATTTGTGAAAAATAAACATTATTGTACACGTTTTGTTTAACTGTACCAAAAACACTTCTACTACTTCTTGCGCGCAACGTTCTCTTCGCGTTGCTGCCATCTTTATCTATTTGCTGCTCCCCATGTAATGCCAACGTTCTCCTTCAATAAACAACTCAACCATGGATTTATTTTGTTTTGCTATAAACAACGGCAGGATATTATGGAACATTTAGTGGTGAGCATAGTCAATCTGGTATCTGGACTCGCTCACAACAACCTCATGATGACTAACATCATATGGTTACTAATGACTAATTTTGTGAGTGAATTCTAGGAGTTTTGGTGACAAGCTTATGACCAGTTGAGTTCAGCTATGTCGGAGTTGAGGCGGTTACTCACCTAAAGCAATGGATGATGGTTGACAGTTAGGTGCTAGGTCTTTACTATTAGTCTAGAGAATATTCGAGTTCACATTTGAAACTGAAAAACCTATGTTCGATTCCTGGTTGATCGGCTCATGGATACACACTGCTGATGAATCCTAAAGACCAGAACGAAACCGCCGTCTAGTAATTCCAAGGTTTCTAATAATGATCTAACATTAATCGATTCATAGTTTATAATAAATTAGAAAAATAAGCAAAAAGAAAATGTCCTTACTTCCTCTGATTTTACACCAATAGGTAACCAAATTAATCCCATTTCTTTAGCTAAATTTTGTGCATTCATATATTTTTCATAAACTGGTGTATCATTCAAATCTAATTCATCGCATATTGATTGATTCGTAAAATCAAAAATATCATGATCATAATATGCACAATGACATTGTGTACATCGCATTCTAGATGAAGAAGTTATTCAATATGCGCATCAATTTACCTGAATGAATGTTTCACAAAACCATCAGGACATTTGGATCCACATTTTAAACATGGTCTACCATTGTCTTGATCATAGGCCATACTGAAGATATGTTCCTATTGTAAAACAATGAAATTTTGTAATAAATGTCGTAGACTATAAGATTTTTAAGTGTTAATGATTTTGAAATTTATTGACCATGTTTTAGCGGAAAAGAATAAACAGACAAATTAATTCGGTGATTTATTTCAGTGGTTGCGAATCTATCAGTAGTGCACAGCTGTTTCGTCCTAGTTTCATACTACTTATCATTGTGCACCCATGACCCTGCCATAGAGGAGAGTAGTCACGAGTTTAAATGCCGGCAAGCGGATATTGTATCAACAGACCACCAAACTGACATCTGACGGCGTGAATGTCTAACCCAATTCAACCGAATACTGACAATTATCGTATGCGCACAACCGAATAGCTCCGAAGTTCTCGAAGTTGCAGTGAGAAGACGTGACGGGTGGAGTTCAACCGTGTGCATTTTGAAATAATTACTAACGAAAGTAAATAGAAAAAGTTCACATAATTTTTTGGACTGATTAAGTCACACACCATATGGTGGTACTGTGGATACACATAACTGAGAAGTCCTGGATTAGGGCAAAAAGACTATCCGCTACTTTAAGTTTTTCAATCTTGATCTTACATCGACTGGTTCATAATTTGTACTAAACATTGAGTTGAAGTTACAGAGGAATCAATCAATGATATAACAGGAACGGAAGATATCAACTGAAAATAAGGACTTTCGAAGACCTCCAGGTTAATTTTTTTTTAACGATGAATACAACGATGGGACAAGTAGAATGAGTATTCCGTTTCATGATCAATCACTTATGTATTGACAAGTCTGCATAATGGCTAACATTGCATTCTATACTACGTGATATTTCAGAATATTTCGCTAAAAAGAACGGTCAACCCGTTCATTGGATTTCCATATCAGTCATTTAATGATCGGTGGAAAATGTCTTAATTGTCTAGTCGTTCAGTGTTGATCGAAATGCATTGATTGCTGGTGTAAGTGAGCAGACACTGTGTGCACTATATTTGGTAATGAGTTGGTTGGAGGAAGTCAGCATAAAATCCACATTGACTTCCACTTCTTATTATCAGCACTCATCAAGTAGGGTGCATTTACAATATAGTTAGGCGATTAATTCACTAGTGAAATCTGAGTGTGAAGCTGAATGGATTGCATCCGAATATCACGGATTGTAGATAAGCCCTCCTGACTGATGCCAACTTTCATTAAACTTTGCTCAACGAGACTCTATCCATCCAAATGACTACTTCATTTTTTTCTCATGTCTTACTCACTTACTTACGCCTTTAACCACTAATCAAGCATAGGCCGTTGACAGGACAATTATTTTCCTCGTTGGCGTTTCTTTTCGTGACTTGGATTTTTAGGGGATTTGGTCACTAACCCCATGCTTAACCCTTCTCGTTTGTCTGCGCTTGGTATCTTCAGTAACCCTGAAAGTGCTTCAGGCGGAGTTTTCTCATGTCTGAGTACCATCATTTTAACAATATCTCGATTGGTAAAATGTCACAATAATCATTAGTTTCAAAGAATTCAATAGAGAAATGACTTACATATATTATGTGATAAAATTAAATAATATCCACTAAAATTATACGTATTCGTATGAATACATCCTAGCAATAAATTTTAAACACATTCAAATTTATTGATTTTTATTGATCATCTGACTGATCGATCAATCAGACACAACATAATTTATAAAATAATCAATCGATTACTCACTACTACCTGACTAATCAGGGCAGATAGATAAAGTTTGATCGAATATTCTGTTTATTATTTAAGAGAGAATTATGTAAAGCTAATATTTACTGCATGTGAATTTCATTAAATTTAAGGCAAACTGTCATTTAGGATAAAATGGACAAGACCGTTTTTTATTTTTCATTGTTTTTTTTTGAATAAATAGTGAAGAAATTTCGCATACTATTTGATATTGACTCAAAATTATTTTGTCCAAACTAAACAAAAATCATACAATCTAGAAGATGAGTTTTTTTTTTCAAAAAAGAAATTAAGATAATTTGTTGAATGCACTGATCCATTAAACCTTGGAATAAAGCAGAAATAGAAGAATCGTAATCATGTTTATGATAAAATGCAACTTCAATTGTATTGTATATAATATCATTTACTTAACATTGTTTCATGTTTTATTTCATATTTTACTAGAATTGTAAGTGAACAAAAGTTTTCCCTATAAAATCTCTTTAGAAATAAAATATCTCGACAGTTTTAAACAATAATCAGAAAGCACAACAACTATCATATAAGCCTATATTCTTCATCGTCATAAGAACAGAATTCGACATTTTATCATTTTCTCAAGTTTCTTTCTTATGTCTTAATAGAAATTGGTTGTAAATCAATTTATGTGTTCATCAATTAGGGTAGTTTAGTAACTACTGATTCCTATCTATTATGAGAAGTGTAATATTGTCTGTAAATAGACACTTTTAATCTGATACAGTCAGTTGAGCTTTCCTCTCTCCCTCACTATCTATCTATCTCTTTTCTCCTTGTTTCCTGTTCCCATGCATTCACATTAAACAGAATAATAATAATATATTATTGAAATCATGAATCAATAATTGTTAGACCACCGTTAGAAACCTGGAAGCACTGAGAGACGGCCGTTTCGTTCTGCTATGGTACTCAGCTTTGTCAGTGCGCATCTATGACTCCTGCTACTCAATGCAATCGAACCCTGGACTAGTGACTAGCTTCGTGAAGAAATTTTCAGAGTTGCAGTGAGAAGATGTGACCAGTAAAGTTCAACCTTGTCAAGTGTAGGCAGTAACTACCGAAGATAAGCGGTGAGGTAGTGCATAATCCCTAGATTGATCAGAGTTAGATATTGGCATTGTTGGATGCCTGTCCGGTGGTCAAGTGGTTAAGCGTTCGGGCGTGAGACCGAAGGCTTGGATTCGATTCCTGCATTCGGGGATCGTGGATACACATTGCTGATAAGTCCCATGCATGTATAAAACGGCCGTCCAATGTCTCCAGGTTTCTAATTGTGGTCTCACACTGATCACAAAATCATCAGTGAATTTAACCATTTACCAATCAATAAACAAACTCATTGTTTTTACTTACTGATTCAGTATATTGATGATATATGAAGTTATATTCAAGTCAAATCTATTGAAATATTGTACATTTAACAAAAAACTTTTTATCATGATTATTTTTTCTTTTCATTCTTATTTTTTTATGACTACCCAATTGGTTGGTTGATTAAATTGAATTCTATTGGTTAGGAAACAAATTGTTTTTCTTTACAAATATTCATGAAATGGTTGTGGAGATTGTTGAGTTACTTTTTGAAATCATGAATCGATCAACGTTTGACTACCATTAGAAACCTGGAAGCATTGAAAGACGGCCGTCCCGTCCTGTTATGGGAACCACTAGCAGTGAGCATCCATGACTCTTGCCACTCGCAGGATCTGAACTCGTGACCTTTAGTTTTGTACGCAAACGCCTAACCTAAGGACCACGAGGCTGGCATCTAGCGGCGTTAATGTCTAACTCTGATCAGTTTCAGGATTTTTGCTCAACCTCACCCATTGTCGTCGGCATTTTGCAATGCATTCGAAACCTTACTATACTACCTACCAACTTCTACTTTCCGATTACCAGCACTTTTTTTAATCTCATGTTTGTGTCGTTATTTCTGGTTATTGTCGTCAATTGCTTACTACATTAAATATAAGAGCATTATTCTGTGTGCTTGCTGAGTCGTCAACTCATCTTTCCCCATGTTATTTGCTCGTTTAGATTATAATTTCATATGCTGCTCGTCACAGTTCCCCAGCCCACAAGGCACTTTTCGGCTAAACAATAAACTTACTAAAGGTTGAAGCTACAATTTACTAAGTTTAACTAAACGTCAGTCTTTAGGTTACCTCCTTGAACCTATATATTTAAATGAAATCGAAAGTCACAGTACGTGACTATTTTATATTCATTGAAATCGAGAATCGATCATTGTTAGATCACCATTAGAAAGAAACCTGCAACCATTGGACGTAGGCTTCTTCGTCTTAGTAAGAGAGGAACTCATCTGTAGTGCTTATCCACGACTCTCGTGCGCGAAGGCTCAACCTTCAGACCACTGTTCCGGCAGTATCCAACGGTGTTAATATCTAACTTTAATCAATCCCAAAAGGTATTGCGAGACCTCATACGTTGTCATGACACAGTGCAACAGTTAAAATTACGTTCATTTCAGCTATTACGTATCAGTACCAAGGTTGGACTCTGATAGTTTCAAATATATTGAGCACTCGGTGGAAAGTTGACAATGACAGTAAAATAATTATATATTCGTGGTGATATCCCAAAGAGTAAAAATTTGTAATTATGACGTTACGTGACTTAATACAAGTTATTTCTTTTATCAATCGAAATGACAATCAGTTTAAACCTGTCAATGTCATATCGTTTTTCGGTAAAGTTGATTCTGTGCGAAAAATTTACGTATCATTTGTGTATGTATGAAAGTGGGTAAGAAAAACATGTAATTTGTGATACTGTTCTCTCGTGCAGCATGAGTGTTGTTGACAGAATTGAGAGGACGAAAAGCAAAATGTCTGGCATTCCACCCAGCTTCATTGGTATGGATGACCTGAATAAGTGTGAGTTGGAGAACCCTGATTAAAACAAAACCAATAACGCATATGGACTACAGGATCCTACCGATGGAACTAATCACCTATAGACTTGTTGTTAATGACCGGTTACCATGGGATTGTTGACTTGTGTGGCGCATACATATTTAAATGCCATTTTCGTAATAACATTTATGCGCTTAAATAAAAATCATTATAAATTTTATGATCCCTGATTTAAAAAAAAATGAATATTACAATCATAATTTTGTTAATAGTTTCATCACGATGACCTCACAAGTAATTTGAAGTGTGTAGATATATTATCATCATAAAGTTTAATTTACAAAGATGAGAATTGTTAGTGAATAAATAAGTTATTTAGGATGCAACATTATCATTCATCCGTATTCATTGAATCAAGAAAAAAAGAGAAGGAGTGAGTGGTGAGAGTGAGAGAGAGAGTAGAGTGTAAACTCATTCATTCATTTGTAAACAATTTATGATAACTTTTTAAGATTAGATTATAATTAAAATAATAATTATATTACTTCATTAATTAATTTACTATAGAAACGAGAATAATTTTTTAAAATTTTTGTAATTTAATTCTTTCTTCTTTTTTGTTTTGATAAATTTACCGCGAATAAGTAGAAGGAAATGAAAAAGAGAAGAAGGCAAGTGAGCAAGCAAGAAAGAGATACTACTATAATTCTTAGAATAGTACTTACTAATTAATGATAATTTGAATGAAATTAGATATTTAGAATTACATTTGCATACATACAACATATATTATTATTGTAATTATTGACACTGTTCTTAATCTCAATTAAACAACTAATAAAAACTAGGAAACACTGGAACGTAGTATTGCCCTGTCAATGATTCTTCAGTAATCTGTATTTACGGTCCTATAAGGTATCAGATCGAAGCCAGAGACTATCAGATCTTGTCGTGAATACTTAGTTATGAGAATCAATAAGTCGGAAACCATTGGCATAGGTCTAGATTTTAACAGTTTGTGATTCAGTGAAACAACTCTATGCATCGTCATTAATTAATGACTGTTTCAATTTCAACATCATATTTGACCTTTATCAGAACTTTGCGAATAGGTTGAAGTTCACATAATGAAGTAGCTAGGTAGGTGTTTTAGGTTATTTTCCATAGATGAAATAATCATGAACTGATCTTAGCTAGTTTAGATAAGAGATTAGACAAATTAACTTGCAATACTCCTCATCGTGAAATGATCTCAATCAAACTTCACCAATCAATACACACCGATTTTACTTAATCCGTTGATAGATACAATTACATGACGCTCTCACGATCACATTCAAACAATTATTGATCTATACAACAACTCCTATTACCACTGGAACTAGTAAAACGAATACTACTGTAGTGAAGGAGAACACAAGTGAGGGCAACCGAATTGTATTTATCGAAAACTACAGAGTTACTCAGTAAAACCACATCGTAAACGGTTAATTTGTAAATCTTCAATCCATCATCAATCCATTGTCTGACATTTCACCACTGTTCATGCGTTTCATACAAATTCCATTGTGTTCCCACTCTTCCTTTCTTGATCTTCCCCCCATCTTCTGCTGCTGCCAGACATTACGTTTACACTCGCGTCATATACTACTTATAAGTAGCGCGCACCACACTACTATACTGCAACTACAACTCATACTACTAACTAACTTACAAACAATTTGATTTATTAAAAAATGTATCTATTTAACTAATCATTTTGCTTATAATAATTCACCAACTGACAGACTAATTAACAAACGGACACGAACAATATATCACTCAAAATGAACTAAGCAATCAATGTTACAACTTGAAGAATAAATGAAATTCAAGAAGATTACAATATAGTGACTTTTCAAAATGAACTTTTATATTATATGGTGTATGTAATGCTGATAGAGTAAAGTTTACTGATCATGTTATTCATCTTTAGTTTGTACATCACAAATGACGGCAACTAAATAAGTTGTGAAATTAATGATGACAATAGTTGAATATTATCACATTTTCAAGAAGAATTCTCATCAACACTGGCAATATCACAATCAATATATACATGTATTCAGCGTGAATATGCGTTGACAGTCATAAGTTTCGTCAAACATGCAAATAAACAGTTTTCGTTAGAAAAAAGAACAAGATGAAAACATAAAATAATAAGTGGACTAAATGATTCTCTTATGTAGCTCGATATAAGTAAACAGACTAGTGAAATGCAGAGATAGAGCGAGCAAGCGAGCGAGAGAGAATCCGTGAGAAGGATAATAAGAGGTTGTTCTCTTGTTCATATATATTATTTGTATATTGTATCTAAAAACGTGAATTCTTCTTGAATAGTGTATTACTTCTTTTCTCGTTGTTTTCGAATATGTAAATATTTTTTGAAATTATTCAAAAAACAATTTTGTTTTGCATCTCTATCGGCTTCCTCATCTTCACTGGGTAGATGATAAGAATCCTACAATGAAACGAAAACAATAAAATGTTGAATAAAAATCATATCATCATCATCATCAATTCATTTTATTATTTACCGTGATATAATTAATATTCAGTAGAATAAATAAATATGCACTTCTTCTGTGCATGTGATACTTTCTGCAACTAGTAGCACTCACCCTTCTTACACACTTCACAAATGCAATGAAACATGGTTAATTAAGTCGAATATTTGTTGTGTAAGGAAATAGCAATTAACACAACATTGAATAAACTTCAAGTTGACGAATATAGACGATCAGTCAGTCATTACAGATACAGTATTGTGGAGATGGTGTATTTTACTTTACTTATTCAGTTGAAAATTTTGAATGGAATGGATGATTTATGTTGAATTAAAATAACAATGGCCAATTAATTTCATGTAACATTTCAAATGTCTATCTATTCAAAACCATAATAATGTCAAAAGATTCTATTCGAGGACACATTTACCGAAGTAGATTGTTTGTGAAAGTCAATGGAAGTCAATCGACAAGAAAAAGGAATCACAAAAATAAATGAATTAATAGCTCAATGAAGAAAATTAATTTTGATCAAATGCCAGAGTGAATGAATTTCAATGAGGGATCGGGTTGTGCCACAGAGAGAGAGAGATCCATGTTTAATATAAGAGTAAATCATCATATAGTAGCGATTGAGTAAATGATTTTTAAAAGAACAGATTGAAACAATCGGAATAAGCACGAATGAAAGTGAATTGAATGATTTTTATTCCTTACATATTCATGTATAATTTTATCACTTCACGTCGCTAATGTCGACGATCCGAGCACATGAAATGTTATTACATTTAGACGAGATGAGACTTTCATTGTTTGACTTTTCAGGATTTTGACCTTCTACCAAGAGATTCAATTGTTGTATGTGTGCTTTAACCTTCAGGTAAAATCCTCTTTGAGAGTGAAGCGACATCATGAAATGCAGTCCAATGGTAACCAGTCACCAGCACTAGGTTCATATGACATTAGTTCTGTTAGAATCTTGGAACCAATGTGCACCGATGACTTGGAATGAGCTTTCCAACTATTCTGGGTAGATTCTTCGTATCCACCAACCCAGTTTAAACCTCATAGAACATTTGCTTTTCGTCCTTTTGATTTCAACAACCACACTCCCACTCTAGAAGGCAGTGAGTAGGAGTTCCTGTCAGTGAGTAATTAGATGCGGCCATCTGAGAGTATTTTCACCACAATCTCACGATACCAGGGCATTTGAATGACAAAAACTGCTGCCCTCCAGAGAAGATTATATAATAGGAATGATATAGAATTCATAAAGCTGCACAAATTTCAAATATTCCTTTATTTACTACTCACATTATAAACTGATCAATTAATACAAAAGTAAACAAAAGAGTCATTGAGAGTAGTTTGAAACTAGAATATTTAAAATGTTTAAATCGAATGAGATTCATAACACTTACAGACATTTGAGACACATGCAACGGTGACATATCAGACCATGAATCATTGCTTATTGCTGCAGAGAAGAAAAAAAAACAGAGAAAAAAAAAACAACTCCCATGATGCAAATTAACAATTTTTTTTAAAATTTGTATGATTAATGAATAAGACTACATTTTAAGTAGGTCTGGAGATGTGAAAGTATAAATTCAAGGTTATACTATTGTTGCATATTGTGTGTGGAGTGTTTAATAGTTCACTTACTCTACCATACACGGATATCGATCGATCTGTCACGAAAATTAACTTCCCCATCAACGTTGTTTTGTTGAATTCGTAAATAAACTAATTTATGGTAAAAGTGTAATATACTGACAGCCTTGAGTGACACAATCATAATTCCAATAATGAATCAAGTATTTTGAGTGAAGTTTACGGTGAAGAGCCAGATAACTTGTATGTTATAATTAGCAAAGTAAAAAAAAACTTGTCAACTCTGGTCCTTCAGATGTTTGAAATCAATAGAAATTGTTGCAATGATGAAACCGAAAAGTGAATTTAGGCCGGTGCTTAAAAATTAAATTACCAAACATTGCGGTTCTCATGAGTACCGCAATTCGGTGGTCTACATCTACCAACATGAATCACAACAATAGTCAATGACTTCATACGCTGATGCGACATTCCGGTTTGACTGTCCCTCACTCTCTTCTAACTTATTCCTACTTCAAACAACATCGCAGATTCACAGGTGTGGCAGTCGTTTGTTCATGATACATTTTCTGACAACCTCAAAACTTGAATATACAGATCCGAATTTTTATCTTTAACCTGTACCTTGCGTATAATAACCTAACCTAACCGTATGAAGACTGCTCAACTGAAAAGTAGTTTTCAACGTGCGCTGATATCAACTTGAACACTACACAACTATCTAGATGTTATTGTGAGAGCTTCAAACAACAATTTGGTCAACATTTTGTGTTATTCAGATTCCTAACTGCATTAGTGATAGTAGTCCAGTTTTATAAACTGAATTTCAGTATGCGTCATTATGTCAAAACTACGTGATCTGCTGTAGCTTTTAGACAAACCAAATCAAATCATTATTCATTTGTATTTTGATCTGGTTAATTAGCCTCTCACAACCTTGGACGATTTGTCTGAGCGTGTGTGCATCGCTTAGTTAACTGATCACATCACCTGAACTGAGTCATGTCTGATAGTAAATGATTAGTCAGATCTGACGATATTCAGTTCGTCACACGCGCACCTGCTCCATTGTGTTTCGCCTCTCATTCTCATATCTAGTCTGGGAACATGAGTGTAGCAACAAAGAAACAATGTAATGCATCACAATTTACCTTTACTATTTCCATCCATATTCATTAATCGTTTTTGATCTGTTTTGTTTGATGTATTACGGTGTAGATAACATGAAGAATTATTCATATTACTTAGTGCACGACAACTCTCACATACGGATTGTTGTGCTAATCGTCTTTTCTCCTTGAAGAAACAAACAGAGAAGAATAAGAGTTGGTGATCAATGATGAATCGAATGTATGTATATCGGATGTGTATTGTAAGTGATATTACCATAGTTCTATCTAAACATTTCAGATAGATATGATCGAGTCTCTGTTAGTTACACACTGTGCACAGGAATCAAATGTAAATAGGATTTTCATAGTTGAACTATTCAGGAGCTAATCCTAGCTAGAATACCATTGGAAACTTAGAAGCATATGATTTGATTCATGCGTACAAGTGATCGTGGGTGTGCACTGATGATCATTCCCTATTGTGACACGATGCGTCTTTCCAACGCTTCTAACTTTCTAAAAGTGATCTCATTCAGAAGATTAGTTTGTAATTTCAACTATCAAAAAATAATACAGTCCTCCTACACAGATCCCCTTCAGTCACGAATAACAATAGTAGTGATTTTATTGTATGAGTTGTGTGTGTATGTCGACTGTAATCAATGATATAAATGTTATCTTTCTCTTAGAAATAACATAATATACTCAAAGTAAAGTGATAAATGACTAGAGAATAAGTTCATTAGACTAGTCACCAATTAAGTGCTTTACTTTTAATCCCACTAAAGATCAAAGCTCTTAACCTGTGAAATTTGTACACATAAACATTTGGAAAATACACAATCATGTGCCATAAATCGGATTGGATGTTTAGCAATGCCTGTATTTTGTGGATGATAGTTTGAGTATTTTCACAGGTTCCAAGTCTATATAACACAACGGCTTGATATTTGTTCTCGTAATTCTATCTGCCATTTTATTTAGTAGACTTCTCGAACATTGAGGAAGTCCAAGTTTATGAGTTAATCGATATCTATCTTCATTATCCTGATCACAATTCAACAATGGAGTGAAGCGTTCTTCTCGTGCTTCGTGACGCTTCGCTTGTGTTAAAGTTGCAGTATACATCTAGTCTAATGTTATTGAAAACAGATAGTAAATCAGATCTTCTGTTCATTCAACAGATTTATCAAAATTGCTATATCACGGATGGTAGCTAGAACCATCAAACATATCACTGCAAACCCCTTAACAATTCGAACTTCTTAAACTTACTTACTTACTTACGCCTGTTACCCCCAAATGGAGCATAGGCCACCCACCAGTTTTCTCCAACCAACTCTGTCCTGAGCTTCCCTTTCCAGTTCTGTCAATTTTTGTTCATTCCTCTCATATCTTTCTCTATTTCTCGGCGTAATATGTTCCTGGCCTTCCTCTCTTCATTTTAACTTGAGGGTTCCAAGTGAGGGCTTGTCTTGTGCGCGGTTGGGTGCTTTTCGTAGTGTGTGTCCTATCCACATCCACCGCTTCTTCTTGATTTCCTCTCCTCCACTGGAATCTTGTTTGTTCTCTCTCACAGTAGGTTGTTGTTGATGGTGTCAGGCCAACCAATCTGAAGTATTTTGCGAAGACAACTGTTAATGACCACTTGTATCTTCTGGATGATGGCTTTCGTAGGTCTCCAAATTTCCGCTCCATACAGTAAAACTGTCTTGACATTTGTATTGAAAATCCTGATTTCGGTGTTGATTGATATTTGTTTGGAGTTCCAGATATTTCTCAACTGTAGAAATGCAGTCCTTGCTTTGCCGATCCGTGCCCTCACATCTGCATCCGATCCACCTTTCTCGTCGATGATGCTGCCAAGATATGTAAGGGTGTTAACGTCCTCTAAGGCATCTCCATCAAGAGTGATTTGGTTGGTGCGTGTTGTGTTGTATCGTAGAATTTCACTTTTTTCTTTATGTATGTTGAGACCTACTGCTGCAGAGGCTGCTGCTACACTGGTCGTCTTCTCTTCCATTTGTTTTGCATGTGCGATAGAAGAGCCAGGTCATCTGCGAAGTCCAGATCGTCCAGCTGCATCCTGGCTGCCCATTTGATACCGTGCTTCCCTTCATATGTCGACGTCTTCATAATCCAGTCGTTCATCAGGAGAAATAGAAAGGGTGAGAGTAAGCAACCTTGCCTGACACGGGTCTTCATCTCGAAAGACTCTGTCAGCTGTCCTTCGTGTACGATTTTGCAGTTGAATCCATCATAAGAGTTCCGTATGATGTTAACTATTTTCTCAGGCACACCGTAATGCCGAAGAAGCCTCCACAGTGTTTTCCTATCCACGCTATCAAATGCTTTCTCGTAGTCGATGAAGTTGATGTAGAGTGGTGAGTTCCATTCAATTGATTGTTACACAATGATCCGTAATGTTGCAATTTGGTCAGTACACGATTGATCCTTACGAAATCCAGCCTGTCGATCTCGAAGTTGGGCGTCTACGAAGTCCTTCATTCTGTTTAACAATACCCTGTTGAAGACTTTGCCTTGAAGAGGATGTGAAATATTTTCGCAGTTGCTTCTACATCTGCTTTCATTGCCTCTGCTGGAATGTTGTCTGGTCCTGCTGAGTTGCCGTTCTTGATTTGTCTGATGGCCATACTGATCTCCTTAATTGTAGTTGCGCCAATATTAATTGGGACGTCCGTGGGTGCTGCTTCGATGTTGGGTGGGTTCAGTGCAGCTGGTCGATTCAATAGTTCCTGAAAGTGCTCTACCCACCTATTTCGCTGTTGTTCAGTGTTGCTGATTACTTTGCCTTCCTTGCTTTTAACTGGTCGTTCTGGTTTACGATAGTTTCCGGCGAGCTTCTTTGTTGTTTCGTACAATTGTCTCAAGTTTCCTTCTCTTGCAGCCTTTTCCGACGTCAGTGCTAGATCTGTCACATATTTTCGTTTGTCAGCTGTGATGCTCTTCTTCACTTCCCTGTTTGTTTCTGTGTATTCAGTGTATTCTTCTTACTTTGTGTTGAATGGTACAATCCCAACTTCAACTAATTCGGCTTAAATCGTGATGATAACTGAATGTCATTGGTGACAAGTTTTCTATCCGAGATATGTCTACACCAAACAAGTTACATCTTCTGAAAGTAAGTCACCATCGTGAGTTGACTTTTGTTGTTTAGTTGAAGATGTTACGAAGTGATCGATTCAATTTGTCAACCATATCCATCACAGATTAATCTCAGTTGACAAACAACAGGGAACCAGGAAACGCTGAATCGGTGTTTTGTTATAGTCCGGGACACGTCTGTAGTGTGGACCCATAATTTCGACTGGGACTGACTCACGGGGAAAACTTTTTGACCCGTTAATATGGATCAGTGGCCAATACAAACAGCAGATAATAAACTAATCGATACAAAATATCTTCAACTAACATACCAAAATTCTATGTTTTTAAAAGAAACTAATTCAATGAATTTATCATTGAATAATGACAACAAAAACATACGATAATAAGTTGTTTTTCAGCTTTGCGCAATCTACGATATCCTTCTTTTAATTCATTGAACAGACCAATTTGTACATCATGTAAACAACGATGTCGAGTTTCAGATTCTTTTAAAAGTTTTACTGTTTCATTTAAAACTTGATTGCGTTTATTTAATTCAATTTCTCTATCATCCAAGTAATTTTCACGACGTGCTAAAATTTCTTGTCCTCGAACAAGATGACATCTGAAATTAATTAAAAAAAAGATGAAAGTGAATGACAAAATAAAATGAAATATTCACACCTACTGCATTCATTCAAATTAAATAGTACTGACTGTGTGCGGGTATTTATTATTACTCTATGTCATTTAATCTAGTTCATTTTATTGACAACACATGGAGTTCTAAAGCCATCGATTTGAGATTATCAGTAAAAATTGTAGTTTGTGAAAGTGGGTATGTTTGTGGAGAGTGTAGTATTATCACAGATGACATCGTGAACTCAACTTAGTTAAAACATTATATGAAACTTGAAGTCACAGGATGGTCTTTTCGTCCCAGTATGAGGCTCCTCAGAAAGGTACATTCACCACCTCTTACATGCGAGTAATCCAACCTTCGATCACGCTGGTAAAAGCTTGATCATTGCACCACTGAGACGTCAATCAATCGATCAGTCAGTTGTTAATCACAAAGATTAATGTTTCAAGGATTGAGCAACTCGTGATTGTTTAACAAATTAATTAGAATTAGACTGATTGAATGAAGAAAACACATCCATAATATGTCAAAAACAGAATGAATTCATTTGTGACACTCAGTCATATTCAATATGGAAGAAGAGAGCAAACAATAAAATAATGAGTTACCTAACGATTCCTAATTGCTGTTTGGTTTCTTCCAATTTACTTTTGTCAATACTGAATTGATTCAATTTTTCATGTAATGGTTGACGTTCCAACGTTATTGTCTGATTCAATGGATCAGTATCTGCTTCAGCCTAGATAAGAAGGAGGAGAGTAAGTGGACACATGAAAGTCAAGTGTTAGTAAACTCAAACGTAAACCGAACGAAATTCAAGGATTGGAAAATCTTTCCCACAAAATCACTAAACTACTGAACACTAATTCAAGCACAGGAATTCAACTTTCATATAGATTCATCTGTACACTTTCAATTACGAACTAACCTTTCTTAGTAAGACTAGTATTGTATATGTAGAAGGAAGCACTAGATGGTGGCTGATTTATATTTGTGTAGGATTATTTAGTGGTGTGCATCGATGACTTGTTCTACTCAATGGCATTGGAATTACAGCACAGTTGTAAGTATCGTTCAATAACGGAATTATTGTTTTCAGTGCAGCACACAAAGGACTTGTACTAATCACATGGAAAACTTATTATTAGTCACCTATCAATTACATCTAAACTGTATTATTACTATTATTGTTATTATTATTATTAGTAGTAGTAGTTGTAGTAGTGTAGTGAATGAGAACACAGGTGGGGGCAACCGAATTGTATTTAGCGACAATTACAGAGTTACTCAGTAAAATCGGAAAACCATATCGTAAATTGTTCATTTGCAAAAGATCAGTTCATCCTATCGAACTGGACTGTTCCTGTTGCAAAACATCACTCCATTGTCACTATTCATGAGTTTCATACAAATTCCATTGTTTTCTAACTCTTCCTTTCTTGATCTTCCCCCCATATTATGCTACCAGACTTTACGTTGACACTCACGTCATATACTACTTATAAGTAGTTCGCACCACAGCACCACAGTAGTAGTAGTATCAATATATATTTTCTCAATTGCGACTTGCTAATTGGTAAAAGACAAAATACGACAAACACCATATCACATCCGGTATTTCGCGGTATTCCAACTCACACATACAAATATTGAGTTTTCTATGTTCATATACACATACTCCATACTTGTATCAGTTGTATTCACACAAGCATATTGGCTAGTAGTGGAATCTAGCATACTCATTTCATCTTATTCGAGACTGACTCCTCTGGTCTACGTAGCTGCATCTCAGTCAGAGTTGATGTTCACTCTGCGATTCCAATCCAGGAAGGTTCACTGTGAACGGAGTCGTGCTATCTACTCAACTGCTGATTTGACATAGCCAGTCACTGGCTTGTGCAGTCGGGTCAAGAATAATTCATGTGCACTGGTTATTGTTGTACAATATTTCAACACTTGGTAAGATTCTATTCTTTTATGATTCTGTTTGTTCTGTTCAACATTTTCAAACATCGATATTTTGAAAAGTAGCCACATATAACATTTGAAATATCATAGATTTCATCCAATTTACAATCATATATAGACTAAAAACGTTGTATTAACTTATTTATTTCATCATTGCATATGTAGTGGCTATTACCGTAAAGTGATGCATGGTACCCATGTTTCAAGATGACTAGTCCCAACCCCACCCACACCAAAAGCTGGAGGGCTGTGCAAAGAGGCAAAAGCCAGAAGAGTTCTGTCTACTTGACGGCCGATCGACAAACTAAAAACAAATACTCGTTCACATATATGTGTATTCACCTCCTCACAAAGGAATGCTACTCCCTAACCCAGTAGTAGGGATTCATCTTTGAGGGTATTTTATGAGGATCATCCACAATGGCCTTCTCATTAGGTCACTAATTTTGACTAGCCCAGTATATCAGTTATGTGTATTAAATCAAAATTCCTATTGTTCCATGGATGATCACCCCCACAGTCTTATAGTATGATAAGACGGCTCCATTCTGGACTTCTTCAATTTTAATGGCAGCCTAACTAAGGTCATCAGTTCTGGTTCAAACTATGAGAATTTCTGTTAAAATTATTTACATACAACAATGAATCTGGACCTTTCATCTACCTATGCATGTTGGTCTATCTTCTCTAAGTCATTGTGAATTGTAATAAATATATGCTTCCAAAAAGAATCATTAGTATTCAAAGCCGCCATTATTCAGTTATTACCAATAACACTTGATCGAACATCTATGAATTTGACGGTACAGGACCTACTAACTTCTTCTGGGTTCCAGACCGAAAGGGATTGCTCAAGTGTTTGTGATACTATTAAAAAGCAGCTTTTCAATCCTCCCTAGTTTTTAATAGTGTTCCAAATAAAATAGGTTCACAACGAATACCACATGAAGTTAGGAGTTGAAAACACAATCGAAGTCTAATTCAGTATTTAAGTAGCGTTTACATTAAAGTGTACGATCTCTGCTACAACTTCCGATATCATAAATTTATTGATACCGAAAGAGTAAATATTGAATATTGAATAAAGTTGAGATTGTCAACTATGCAAAAGTCCAGAGGTTAGGCGTTCCTGTGCAAAACCGGAGGTCCAGGGTTCAAGTCCTGTGAGTAGCAGGAGTCGTGGATGCGCAACACTGATGAGTCCGATACCAAGAAGAAATGGCCGTCCAGTACTTCCAGGTTTGTAATAGTGGTCTAACAATGATTGCTTCATGATTTCAATGTGTAAAAAAACAATCTCCATAAATTCATAATGAGAAACGACCATTTATCAGGTATACAGAACCGGTTTAAAAAGTTTCGGTTTAGAGATTCGTTCACAGCTGAAGCAATAGCAATTGATCATTTCTATCCAGACCATTGTACAGAAAGAATATCTATGTGCAACACCTTACTCTCTTCCATGGTCTTAACTTCCCCCTTCTGAACCTTACAAACTGTGCTAACTTCGTCTTCTATTTCTTTACAGATTCGTAACCCTTATTGGTTCTAAATCTATTTATTCACATTTCGTAAGCTCTTAAAGATTTTTGACTGCACTGCCCAATAATGTAACCTCTTCTTTTATTCAATACTTGAATCGTTGTAGTGTATACTTACTTAATGTCAAGTCCACATGGTTTGTTTCAGTCTTTAGACAAACTAATCAATCTCTTATTATCCTCAAGTCATGATTCACAAGTATTTTGACCTCATGAACTACTCGCTTATAACTCTATAGTTGTTTTTCTTTGTGTATGTGTCCGCGCATTGACTTACTTCACTGATCATATAAATCATGTCTAGCATATTTTTGTTTGACAATAAATATACTTAGTCAATTATTCCACAGCAATAGATTTAGTCCAACCGCCTACTTCGATCCCACTACTGTTCCATTTTACACTTCTCACTCTGTTGTCTGTCTGTTTTAGTGAATGTAGGAAATAAATTCTTCCAAAAGAATCAATCATATTGGGTTTGTTTTAAATTGTCTTCATCGCACAAACGGTCACAACGAATATCATTATTTCATTCACCGGCATTGTTAATTCAAAAAATCAGATTTGAGTTTTTCTATTAAGAGAAGAATTTCTTTCGTTAATTTTTGCCATTTCTTGAAAGCCTAGCCATAATACACTAAACACATATTTTATGGATATTATAGGTTAGAAAAAAAAAGTGACAAAATCAGAACACCATGTAACGACCATCAGAAATGTCCTAAACAACCAACATATATCATTGATCAAATACTGCATTCATCTCCTAAGCTTAGGGAATTGTTTATACATGTGAAAGAGTATTTATTGCGTGTGACACGGTGACCAAATACACACTCTCACATCATCATTCTCACCTCCCCACTCAACTAGCCAGTTCCCAGGGTTAGCGCATACCACCATGACATTTCGACACTGCCTTTTAATCATCGTCAAATTATAAGCGTGTAGTGACAGCTAACCAATTAGCACACACTAACACTTCCAACTTTTGTTTTAATAACTTTCAAAATAATTATTGTGAATTACTACCACCTACATATCATATATCGATATGTAGTGTTCTTATCTCATTTGTGTTTTGCGTTCATGCTGTTTATCATAGTGAGAGCAGATTGACAGAAACGATTTGCCTTCTACCCTTAACTATTTCATGCGTAATACAGTCATTTATTTACAATCAAGAAACTGATTCTATTCCAGTTTCAGCTGAGAGAAAATGCTTATTCATTTAACACAGTATATAAAAATACACAAACGATTCTTACTGATTCAATTGGTTTTTGTTTCATTTCCAAACTTCGCAGATCTGCATGCAGTCGCTCGTGTTCTTCACGCAGTAAATTCAGTGACTCTGACACATTCGCTTCAGTATTATCATGTTCATTATTGAAGCCAGACTACAAATCAATTTTTCATATTTGAAACAAAATAAGATAATAGTTGAAATTGAAAATTGTTTAGTAGGTGATTTTCTCACTGTCATCATTTTAGACGATCGATTCGATGAAATTGCACATATTATATTCCGTGTAACACGTTTGGAAGCTTAACTGCTACACTTCCTACCAATGGAACAGGTTTCGATGCAAACTAGTCTTGAGGCAACATTTTGCGATTGAAGGAGGTGAATCTCATCCTAAACATGCATTGTTGTTTAAGGTGAACAGAAGACTGTATTTTGTCAGCGTCTTCGAAAATTAGTACTATATCATCGGTATATTCTTCGTCAACACGCAAATCTCCTCGTACAACGGCAACTCCTGAACAATCAAACTGTCGTCTCTACATGTCAATGACAAAGTTAAACGAGAATGGGGAAAGTCCACAGCACTGACGAAAGCCATCACAATTCCAATGATAGTTCTTCATAACCTCTGACTCGACTAATAGTAGCGTTTGAGTAGGGAGTCTAAATAAGGTGAATGCACTTTTCTTGTACTCCTCCCAACGACAAAAACCGTCACAGAAATCTCACGATAATCAGGGTAAAACATCAACTTCAATTCCATTAGTACAACTGTCAATGGGATGCCTGGATGTGTGTCTCAGTTCTGAGACCTGACGAAGTGTGAATGCCTGATCTAAACATGTACGTCAATGTCTGAAACCAGCCTGCTTTTCTCTAGTCTTTTATCCAGTTCTATACACTGAGACAATAATCAGTGATTGAAAACAGTCAGATGGGATTATGTCCAGTTAGTTTCCAGATTCTAGGTGATATCTCAGTAATCTCACTGAGAAAACTGGACCACCGTTCTTAAAAATCTGATGTGTAATTCTCTCAGTATCTGCTGTTCTTCCTCACCTTAAATCACTTATAGCCTTTCAACGTGATTAAGAGAAGGAGGACTCACATCAAGTTGCCGATCGGGCTGACTGAAAGTCGTATGTATCTGCAATGGGACTGAAGGCCAGTCGAACTGTTGCAGAATGAGTGGTAGTCTTCCATCGAGCCTCTCTATCGGTGAGTGATAGCGAAATGGTCAAGATGGGTTCAGCAGTGAGTGAATTTTAAGATTTAAGAGTTGTTCCTTGTGTCTAAGGTTAATAATTGCCAGAAATCGTTGGTTATCAGAGCATCGTCACAGCACACTCTCAACAATATCTGTTAGGTCAGCCGAAAAACTCTTGGGTGACCATCAGAAATATCCTAGATATTCATTGCATATCATTAGTCAAGCAATGGATTCATTCCCTAACATTAATGAATGTACCAATATGTGAGTGAGTATTTGTGCACATGATACGGTGGCCAAGTATACTTTCTCACATCGATTCTCTCTCACCTTCCTAATTAACTAGACGATTTCCACGGTTAGCGCAAATTCCCCTTACATTTTATACAGCACACGGCAAAAGACCTATGTCGACACTGCCTTTTGATCATAGGTAAATTATTTTAGTTTCATGACAATCAACAAATTAGCAGACACTATCACTTTCAGCCTCGGTACTGAGAGCTTTCAAAATAATTATTGTGAATTAATACCACATACACATCATACATCCAAAGTGTGCTTTGTGTTCATGCTGTTTTTCATAGTGACAGCGGATTGGCAGAAACTATTCACCTTCTTTTTTACTTAGTACGACAAACTGTGGATTTATCATTTGAATGGAACTGATGTCAACCGTTCTTCTGTAGGTCATCAATCATAAGCAAAGCAGAAACTAGCATATATGTGTAACAACAAAAAATATTACGGAATATCAATATAGTCAAATGAAATGTTCAAGATCAATAGTGGAATAAGTAGTGACAGAATTGGTGACAGTATTCACATAATACGAATCGAAAATCACTACAATGAACCAATCAGAGGTGACCAAATCTAAACACCATTTGATTGATGACCTTCAGAAATGTCATAATCCACCAATGCATATGATTGGTTGAGCTGTTCATGCTGCTTTTCACAGTGATATCTCATTGTTAGAGAAGTTATGTCTACTCTCCTTAACTGTTTCTTGCGTAATTCAGTCATTTATTCACGATCATGAAACCGATTCTATCCTATTCACATCTACATTCATTTGAACCAGTGTGAGGAAAAATTGCAGTTAGACAACACAGTAAATAATAATACACAGAAGGTTCTGACTTTCTCTATAGCTAATTCATTTGATTTCTGTTTCGATTCCAAATTGAGCAAATCTGTATGTAGGCGTTGAAGTTCTTCAGCGAGTAAATTAAGTTCCTCTGACATTTTCGCTTGTTCAGCGCGATCTGCGCTGTCAACGTTTAACTAAAATATGAAGTGGAAAAAGGACTTGTAAATAAATTTATCATATTAGAAATAAAACAATGATAGTTGAAACTGAGAGGTGTTTAGTTGTTGATTTTCTCAATACCATGTTAGACCATCGATTCGAAATCATACGTGATTTAAGTGAAGTTTAATATGACTATGAACGTTGCATGAATGAGTGACAGAATGTGGATTGATCGTAGGAATGTGACTGGTTTCAACTATTCCGAGGTTGATGACGGTCCTAAGAACGAATTGATGAGGCATGTTGTTAGACACCTCATCGCAGAGAAAATTGACTTGCGAAACTGCGTGACCAGAAAAAGCGATTCAAATACTTGAAATTCTTCCTGGGAAGTTGAAAGATTTTTATTTAGAAGATGTATGACGACTCATGTCGAAAGCCGATGCCTCGTCTGACAGCTAGAGCAATTAGCAGTATGGGTAAATGGAATTTTTGCACAAGGTGGTAGATAAGGATAGTCATCCAGGTTGATGCGGAAATGAAAAGATACAACCTGAAGGTACCTGGAATATGTGAAATATAATGAATGCATACCGGAAAAACAGACTAGCTTCAGGAGAGATACTGTTTTACTCCGGATAGAAAGAGGAAAATGCTTTACATACACAAGTGTTCGTACTGATGTTGTCTAAAAGAGCACAAAAAGCACTGATATTGATCGGAATCTCATGAACCAATGATCATCGAAGCATCCTTTAAAAAAAAGAAAGAGAGGATTACAATGAACGTAAACCCGTTATGTACCCTACTAACAACTGCGATGATGATATTATGGATGGTTTCTGTTAGAGGCTGAAGTCAATCGTTGATAAATGACTAACAACGGACTCAACCATTACGAAAGGAGATCTAAATGCCAAGGCTGAAATGGACAACACCGGATATGAAGAAATCACGGGACATCATGGACTGAGAGTGAGGGAAAATGGTGAGATTCGAAAACTCAATTGTCTTGAGCAAAATGATCACAGGCGGTGCCATATTCCCACATAAACGCATACACAAAGTAACATGGATTTCACTCAATCACATCACAAAAAATCCGCTCGATCACATATCCATTAATAAAAAGCTCAGAAGACCTGAGAAAAAACAGACGAGCTGACATAGACCAGATCATCACTTGCTGGTCGCAAAGATGAAACCAATACTCCAGAAACACTAGACAGCATGACGGATAACATCATACGGCCTCGCTTCACGATACTAGAAAACTCAACGAATTCAGGATAGCTCTCAGTAATAGGTTCAAGGCTTTTCACGATCTCCTCAGTGAAGAGAAAAGTACAGTGGATGCGGACTGAAAACGGACAAAGGAAAAGATAATAACTTCAACATGTGACGAGGTTCTGCGCAACAACAAGTACCATCACAAGGAGCGTGTGATTGTTGATTCAGCTGGATAGGATTCCAGATAGGTGGAAGGACAGGAAGACAACAATCAATATCAACCAAACAAGAGTAGAGAAATCCAAGTCACAGGCTAAATACACAGAAGCGAACAAGCAAGTGAAGAGGAGCATCACAGCTGATAAACGTAAATATGTGGGAGAGCTAGCAATGACGGCAAAAACAGCTGCAGGATGAGGAAACTTGAGACAATAGGGCGATGGAACGAAGAATCTCGCTGGAAAATATCGTAAAACAGCACAACCAGTGCAGAACAAGGATGGTCAAGTGATGACAAATAGATACTGAAGAATAGCGAAACAGGTCAGCAGAGCACTTCGAAGTAATCGTGAATCGACCAGACCCTTCGAACCCACTCAACATCGATGTAGCACAGAAAAAGTTGCCAACTGATGTCGAACTGCCAACAATTGAAGAGATCAGCATGGTCATCAGACAAATCAAGAGTGACAAGGTAGAAGGACCAGAAAACATTCCAGCTGAGTACACGAAAGCAAACATAACAGTAATTGCAAACGTAAAGCGCATTCTCTTTAGGAAGATTTGAGAGGAATTACAAGTACTAACAAACTGGAAAGAAAGACATCTGATCAAGATAGTCAAGAAAAGAGATCTGAGAAAGTGTGAGAACAAAAGGGGCATCACTCTGCTCTCAGTACGTGGAAAGTCTTTAACAGAGTGTTGTTGAAGAGAATGAAGGACTGCGTAGACGGTCAACATTCCATAAAGATCGATGGTGTACTGGGAAATTGGCGAACCACGAAAGGCCTCGTCCAAAAGATAGAAGTGGTTAATAACAATTTTCTACGCAAGATACTCAGGATTCGTTAATCAGAGACCATCAAGCAAAAACTTACTGTGCGAAAAAACAAACCATATTCCAGCAGAGGAAGAAATCCTGAAGAAATGCTGGAAAAGGATAGGACACATACTGAGAAAAATACCGAACAGCATCATCAGACAAGCATCCACTTGGATTCCTCAGGGACAAAGTTAGAGTAATAGAACAAAGAACACACTACGCCAAGATATGGGAATAGACATTAAAATAATGGATAGAAACAATAAACGTAAGACAGAGTAGGTAGGAGAATGCTGGTCTGTTTAATATTCTACATCAATGGTAACAGGCTTAAGGAATTAGGTAAGTAACTAAGTAGGTATAGGTAACATGTTTACGCTGTTTTTCATAGTGATATCTCATTGAAACAAACGCTTCGGCTTCTCCGTAACTATTCCTTGCCTAATTCAGTCATTTATTCACAAACACAAAACTAATTCCATTCCATTCACAGCTACATTTATCTGAAGCAGTCAGTTAAGGAAAAATTCTAGTCATACAACAAAGAAATAGAAAACAGGTTCTTACTTTCTCCAAAACTAATTCATTCGCTTTTAGTGTCTTTTCCAAATTAACTAGATCTGCATGTATACGTATAAATTCTTCACCGAGTGAAGTAAATTCTTCTGCCATTTTCTCTTCAGCATCACCATCTTCATTTTGGACGTCAGACTATAATATGAATAGGAAAAGCGATTTGTAAATCAATTTTTTCATAGTTCAAATGAAACGATGGTACTTGAAATTGAAAAAAGTTTAGTAGGTGATTTTCTGACTGTCATCATTTTAGAAAACCGATTTATTATGTTGTTTCGATAAAGAATCCCATCTTATTCCATATATTTATCACATTCAAGTCAAGACGATTTGTGCCGTGACAATAACAGAAAGGAAACTATGGATTCAGTTGGATGAGTTTATATCATGCAATCACTCGCATTGCAATTATTCACTATGAATTATTACTTTCAGTTACACTGTTGAATTCATCGATTGGAAATTTTTCATAAGGAAAAAAAATCAACATGTTTTTAAGTTGATTCCTGACTTATCTGCTACTACTATTTAAAAATTTGTTGTGTTAATATTGTCGGTCAAAAATGGGACAATCTGCACTTATCACTACTCCACACCGACTATTATTATTAGCATCATTATCGTTATTATCTGGGACTTGAAACTTTGCAGAACATGATTGTGGCGTAATGGTTTCATTTACCGGTTCAATCAGAAGTCACTCAGTGCCTCACAACTAACTATCTAGTCTTGGTAGAGAACTCCTCAGTAAAATGCACTGACGAATTAATGGATATGAATGATGTTTGCAATCGGATTATAACTTTGTTGTCATCTAATGGATAAACGTTCACTGAAATACCTCAGGATGATGAGCATGTGTCGTTGGGTACTCTCATGATAGGGTAGAATAATTCTGCCACATGTGTTTGAAATATCCACAATGTTCTTGTCTGATTTGCGCTACGTTTTCATGCTGATTTTCACAGTGATATCTCATTGCTTGAGCAGTTATGCCTACTCTCCTTAATTATATCATATACAATTCAGTCATTTATTTACAATCACGAAACGGATTCTTTTTCATTCACATCTACATTCATTTGTACTAGTCAAATGAGAAAAAATTCAAGTTATGCAACTCAGTAAATAATAATGCACGACAGGTTCTTACTTTCTCTATAGCTAATTCATTTGATTTTTGTCTCGTTTCCAAAGTTAATAGATCTGAATGTAGACGTTGAAGTTCTCCAGCAAGGAAATGAAGTTCCTCTGACATTTTCTCTTGTGTATGATGATGATGATGTTCACCTGTGACGTTAGGATCATTACGTTGTTCTCTTTTGACGGTAAGCTCGTTACGAAGTTCACGTTTTACGGCAAGCTCATTACGATGTTCACTTTTGACGGTAGGCTCATTACGATATTCACTTTTGACGGTAGGCTCATTACGATATTCACTTTTGACGGTAGGCTCATTACGGTATCCACTTTTGACGGTAGGCTCATTACGATGTTCACTTTTGACGGTAGGCTCATTACGATATCCACTTTTGACGGTAGGCTCATTACGATATTCATTTTTAACGGTAGGCTCATTACGACGTTCACTTTTGACGGTAGACTCATTACGACGTTCACTTTTGACGGTAGGCTCATTACGATGTTCACTTTTGACGGTAGGCTCATTACGATGTTCACTTTTGACGTTAGGCTCATTACGACGTTCACTTTTGACGGTAGACTCATTACGACGTTCACTTTTGACGGTAGGCTCATTGCGATGTTCACTTTTGACGGTAGGTTCATTACGACGTTCATTTTTAACGGTAGGCTCATTACGATGTTCACTTTTGATGGTAGCTTCATGTTGTTCAATTCTAACGTGATGCTGCTCATTACGACGTTCATTTTTGACATTTTGCTCATTATGTTGTTCACTTTTGATGATCGACTAAAATATGAATGGGAAAAGTAACTTGGAAATCAGTTTGTTATTTATTTAGAATCATGAAACCAATTCCATTCCATTCACATCAATATTCATTTGAATTAATCAGCTGAGAACACAGTAAATAATACACAACAGGTTCTTACCTTCTGCGGAGTTAAGTCACTTCGTCTTTGTTTCTTTTTCAAATGCATAAGGTCTGAATGTAGATTCTGAAGTTCGTCAGCGAGTAAATTAAGTTCACCTGACATGTTTGATTTGGCATGACCATGTGAATTTTCCAAGTCAGACTAAAATATGAATAGGAAAAGTGACTTACAAATCAATTTATCATATTTCAAATCAAATGATCCTTTAGTATGTACAAAACTGTAGTATATACAGGACTAGTCTCAGCCTTTCGAAATATTATCCCAGCCATTCTTCTCAAATCACGATTCACATGTCTTTCGATTTTATCGATTATTCGCTTATAACCTGGTTTGTGTTTATATAAGTGCGTCCGTGCATACTTACTTGGCTTATTACATGCCTAACCTTTTTGATTTGACTTTGAATAGTTATTCATGTTTCACCGCATGAGTTTTCTCATTCGGTCTCTCCTCTTTGGTTCATTTTGTTTTTTTTTTGGACTGTAATCCTTTTATTATCATGTCGGTATAAACTGAAGCATGAAATAGACACAGTAAACACAATCCATACTTGGCGGCCAGACCAAATTATGGCTCAAATCCACGAAGTCACTGACAAGTGGACTGAGTCGACTACCTGGTTGAGGTCCGCGAGACGATAGTAACCGATGATTAGAGACCTGGAATGACATGGCTCAAAATCATTTGCGATAGCGCAGATGCATCCATTTTTCGTGTTCCCTCAAATCCTAATCTTCTGAATTCCTCATCACCTGTATCTTTCTCTTTTCAAGTTTATTTCAACATACTATTTGAATAATATCTTGGAACCCAATTCTTCTTCATTACCCGTAATACTTCCATCTCTATCACCAAGAGATTTGAACTGACAGGTGCGTCAATATGCCACCGTGGTATCGCAGCCTGAACTGATGTACGCACCTGCAAAGTTTTACATTGTTGCTGACTGACTGACTGTACTTTGCTTCTTATTACTGACGTCGCACAAACGGTTTTCGTCTAAGTATGATATAAGTAGATTAAATGAAGATTTATTTCATCGCCTCCTCGATCGGTCGTCAATATTGGAATCAGATGGCGGGTCACTAAAGTGTTGAGCTCAACGTCGAATTTAACTCAGCATGCAGAACGATTTAGAGTAAGAATATTCCGGACTGTATGTTTTGGACCAATTTTAATCTTCGAATCAGACTCAAAGAAACAACTCAGACAATTGAATCTCGTATTCGACGTACGCAGCTAATCTAGTTCAGTGAAATGATTATCCTGATTTATATCACCAAGAAATTATGACACTTATGTAATCATACTAATCATTAATGGAATCTTGATACTATGAATATTCTATCTACGTTTCGGCATTTTTAACTGCTTTTTTGATAACGCAAATGGCTTTCATGATTAAAGTGGGTTGGTGTTCTTTCCTTTTGACTTATCTTATGATTCTATTCTGAATCATTTATCACTACAAGACTAATTATGCAGTATCATTTAATTACATGACTACATGATTTTCTCATGACACAGATATTTCTGATGTAATCATCATCTGTTCGTACCATAAACAACTTACTAACTGCTAATTAAATTGGTGGGGTTATATGATACGCGTAGTATTCACACGAACCATCATCAGGTTAGGCAGTTGAGTGAAGCCCATGCACTCTAATAATAACATGTTTTCAACAACCTTACCTCTCATAATCGTTAGCAACGTTATCATAGACATGAGTTTGGAGTCATACACTCATTGATAGCAACTTAGGTTCTCGATATTTGAATCTAATGATCGTTGATTATATATATATATATATATATATATATATATATATATATATATATATATATATATATATATATTCAGCAATCATCTTTGTCCGTTTTCTTAACGATATAATCCCGACTGGACTTTCTTAACATAGCTGGAGACATAAGATATATAGATGAAGCTTTCCATAATGTTCAAAAATGTATCAAATTTCATCTTACTTCAAGAACACATAACTGCACGCAATATTCGCAATCATAGATGATACCTAGTGTGGTGGTTATGCTTGCCTACCCCGATATACCGACCTTGCATCAATTTCTGAAACATGTGTTCCGAAAGGTCTAATAATTCTGAACGCGCCAAAAGAATAACGGTTAGAAAAATGCATCAGGTAAAGGTCTGAGTACCAAGTCATATTGCTGATAGCATCAGTGTGAAAAAAAGAATAGGATACTTCATTCGGATAACCAGCATCTATTGAAATGCTGCTGTCTAATAGCAGTAGGAATGATAAGCAATGGCCGACCAAAAAATACCACATCAATCCTCGTTAAACGGATTTCCGTCTCCCGTCACAAGTCCTCTTCAAGACCCTTCATAATAATACATCACAAACTTACCATACAAATGCCACGCATGACCGATCTCGGGATTCTGTCGCCTGCGTTCTGTGGTCACGCTATCACGTCAACAAAACCAACGGCAATCCAAATTTCTTTATTTGCAGCTTCCTCAAGAATCATCCTTCCAAGGTGTCCGCAACTGAGAAGTCACATCTGCCCCCTCATACCCCTAACAGAACACGAACACAAAACCAACGATCCCAGAAAGAATCGATGTAGAACTCAACTGGGCCACTTCGCTATCAGCCGCCAACGGAAGTTGAATACAAGACTTCGCTAGCTCCAAAGACAGCAAAGAAATCTCTTAGAGCTGTAATTAACTCTGAAAAATACAGAGTATATTTTGAGAGCAACTAGAACAAACAGTTAGGTAGTCATATAAGTAAGGTAGCCTAATAATGATATCCGAAATCTGTGAAATGTAAGGAGCGATATCAACCTGTGAAAAAATTCTATTCATACAACACTGAGAACATTGATGCACATTAGGTTCTTACTTTCTCATGAAGTGATTCAGTCGATTTACTTTTCTTTTCCAATTTTACTAGGTCTGTATGTAGACGTTCGAGCTCTCCAGCGATCGCAGTAAGATCTTGTGACATTTTACCATGAGTCGTGCCATATACATTGTGGAAATTAGTCTGAAATATGAATAGGAAAAGCGATTTGTAAATCAATTCCTCAACTGAAATTGAAAAAAGTTTAGTAGGTGATTTTCTGACTGTCATCATTTTAGAAAACCGATTTAATATGTTGTTTTTGATAAAGAATCCCATCTTATTCCATATATTTATCACATTCAAATCAAGACGATTTGTGCCGTGACAATAACAGAAAGGAAACTATGGATTCAGTTGGATGAGTTTATATCATGCAATCAATCGCATTGCAATTATTCACTATGAATTATTTATTACTTTCAGTTACACTGTTGAATTCATCGATTGGAAATTTTTCATAAGGAAAAAAAATCAACATGTTTTTAAGTTGATTCCTGACTTATCTGCTACTACTATTTAAAAATGTGTTGTGTTAATAATTGTCGGTCAAAAATGGGACAATCTGCACTTATCACTACTCCACACCGACTATTATTATTAGCATCATTATCGTTATTATCTGGCACTTGAAACTTTGCAGAACATGATTGTGGCGTAATGGTTTCATTTACCGGTTCAATCAGAAGTCACTCAGTGCCTCACAACTAACTATCTAGTCTTGGTAGAGAACTCCTCAGTAAAATGCACTGACGAATTAATGGATATGAATGATGTTTGCAATCGGATTATAACTTTGTTGTCATCTAATGGATAAACGTTCACTGAAACACCTCAATATTCATACAACAAGCGAATGTTAACTTACATCAGTATAAAATATAAACATATAAATGTCACCATTGTTAGCATCTGACTTACTTTTTAAACAAAGAGGTATGAACAGAGTTCACTTACCATCAGAACACTTATTTCTGCACAGGCTTTGCCTGACTGTTCAATTGCACAACGTCTCTCTTCTTCTATACTTAGTTCATTTTCAGACAATACACCATCTTCTTCTTTCATCGACCAATTATCCTAGATTACATAATTGAAATAATCACAGCTTCACACAAAATGACTAGTTCATTATTATTCCTTAGTCATTCAAAGAAGTATTAATGAAAAAGCATTTGAAGTCGATAAGCTTCACAACTTTCGAAATCATATTCATCCTGTTTTCGATTTCGATATGAAAGCCGAATTCTGTTCAGTTGATTTCAACTACTATCAAAATATCAATGTGTTTTCCAGGTCAAATATGCATTTTGTTTACAATATGAGCATGAGCAGTGAGTGAATGAGAAAAATGTGAATTTATCATTTGACTGGAACTAATGTCAACCGTTCAGTCTGTGTCATCAATCGTAAGCGAAGCAGAAACTAGCATATATGTGTAACAACAAAAAATATTACGGAATATCAATATAGTCAAATGAAATGTTCAAGATCAATAGTGGAATGAGTAGTGACAGAAGTGGTGACAGTATTCACATAATACGAATCGAAAATTACTACAATGAACCAATCAGAGGTGACCAAATCAAAACACCATTTGATTGATGACCTTCAGAAATGTCATAATCCACCAATGCATATGATTGGTTGAGCTGTTCATGCTGCTTTTCACAGTGATATCTCATTGTTAGAGAAGTTATGTCTACTCTCCTTAACTGTTTCTTGCGTAATTCAGTCATTTATTCACGATCATGAAACCGATTCTATCCTATTCACATCTACATTCATTTGAACCAGTCAGATGAGCAAAAGTTCACTTATACAACTTAGTAAATAAATAAGTCAATACACATAACGTTCTTACCTTATCTGAAGCTAATTCATTTGATTTCTGTTTTCTTTCCAAATTCAATAGATGGGCACGTAGACGTTGAAGTTCTTCAGCGAGTAAATTGAATTCCTCAGATATGTTTGATTCTGCATCACCATCTTCAATGTGGAAGTTAGGCTTGAATATGAATTAGAAAATTGACTTACAAATCAATTTGTCATATTTGAAACAAGATGATACTGTTTATTTCGAACACATGTTTATACATGGATCACGCTCCGCAATGAGTGCGTATTTATAAGCGGCTTTCTGGACGTCAGAAAGACACAGTAAGTAATCCTCTTTGACAGGAGTATATTTCGAGAGGAACTGGAAAAACTATTAAAAAGCCATGTAATTGATGATCGCTGCAGGGCAGCCTGGAACGATATTCAAAAAGCTGTGGAAGCAGCGGTGATATCTGCCAATGAGGTAAATCAAAAGGTTAGACAGAAGCATTTGATTTCAGTAGCATCTATTGATTAACTAGATGCTTGGAAACTCATCTAGTACGACTCCGAACACGAGGATTAGCGGAGTAACCTTGAACAAAGGCTAATCAAAGTCTAAGAAAAAATCTCCAGCAGTGGTGGGTAGCAGAAGCAAAAGCGATTGAATAGGCAGCTATGACAGGCGACAGTAAATAGCTTTTCAGACTTATCAAGGATATCGGCACAAGAAATCCGGCTGTTATCAAGACTATCGCAGAAAATGATGGGACTATTATTCACTCTCAGCCCAGGAGATTGAGTCGGCAGGCAGGACGATTTAAGGAGCAGTTCACCTGGCCTTCAGTCCCATTGCAGATACACACGACTTTCAGTCAGCCCGATCGGCAACTTGATGTGAGTCCTTCTTCTCTTAATCACGTTGAAAGGCTATAAGTGATTTAAGGTGAGGAAGAACAGCAGATACTGAGAGAATTACACATCAGATTTTTAAGAACGGTGGTCCAGTTTTCTCAGTGAGATTACTGAGATATCACCTAGAATCTGGAAACTAACTGGACATAATCCCATCTGACTGTTTTCAATCACTGATTATTGTCTCAGTGTATAGAACTGGATAAAAGACTAGAGAAAAGCAGGCTGGTTTCAGACATTGACGTACATGTTTAGATCAGGCATTCACACTTCGTCAGGTCTCAGAACTGAGACACACATCCAGGCATCCCATTGACAGTTGTACTAATGGAATTGAAGTTGATGTTTTACCCTGATTATCGTGAGATTTCTGTGACGGTTTTTGTCGTTGGGAGAAGTACAAGAAAAGTGCATTCACCTTATTTAGACTCCCTACTCAAACGCTACTATTAGTCGAGTCAGAGGTTATGAAGAACTATCATTGGAATTGTGATGGCTTTCGTCAGTGCTGTGGACTTTCCCCATTCTCGTTTAACTTTGTCATTGACATGTAGAGACGACAGTTTGATTGTTCAGGAGTTGCCGTTGTACGAGGAGATTTGCGTGTTGACGAAGAATATACCGATGATATATTTCTGTCTTAACGCTAGTTCAAAACGTGGCAGAAATCCATAGAGTCATTGACAACTGTAAAGAACCATGTTCGTGGACTTAGGCGACCTGGTTGGGGTCTGTGAAACTATTTTAACCGATGGTTATAAACCTTGACTGACAGGGCTCAAAACGTTTTGCGGTGGAGTAGGTGCATCCATTCTTTGTTTTCTCTTAAATTCTAATGCGAATTTCTCATGACCTTTATTTTTCGCATTCTTAGGTCTATTTCACTATTTCTCAAATCCTATCTTAAAAAATTAATCTTTTCCATTACTCCTAATAGTGCAACTACCTCTACTACTATGAGGTTTAAACCGATAATTCCATTACTGTGTGCTATTAGCGTATGGGAGTTTTAACTCCGTTACGTACAAACGAAGTTGTACGTCGTAGCTGACTTACTGGCACAAAATGCATCTTGAAAATGTGAAATCTGTATACAAATCAAAATGAAATTAATGTAGGTTGGTGACAGCCCACCAATTAGCACACAATATCGATTTCAACCTTAGAATTGATTGCCTTCAGTTCCTTATCGTGGATTACTACCACCTCCACTTCATTCATCCATAGTGTTCTAATCTGATTTGTGCTACGTGTTCACACAGTTTTTTTGTAGTGATATCACAGTGACAAAATTTTTTCGCCTTCTCTTCAAAGATTTCATGCGTAACTCAATCATTTAATGACAATCATGAAATTGATTCTATTCCAAATAACTGAGAAAAAATTATATTCATTCAACTAAGAAAATAATACACATCATATCCTTACTTTCTCCAAAACTGATTCAGTCGATCTAATGTCCGTTTCCGGACTAAATTGTTCTTCACGAGAACGTTGAAATTCTTCACCGAGTGAAATAGTTTCCTCAGACATTTTCTCTACAGCATCATCATGTTCGTTGTCGTAATCAGACTATTAATAGCAAAAGGGACTTACAAATCAATTTGTCATACTTAAAATAAAAAAAGTTGATAGTTGAGACTGAGACGTGTTTAGTAGGTGATATTTACCGCTATTATTTTAGACGACCGGTTCAATATGTTGTTTCGACGAAGTTTCATATCGTATTCCTTATATCACATTTAGGCGTGAACTAGTCAAGACGCAGTTAGGAAATCTCGACACGAAAATTCTCACATCTATCCTCGTTTCACGGATTACCGTCTCCCGTCACAAGTCCTCTTCAAGACCCTTCATAATAATACATCACAAACTTACCATACAAATGCCACGCATGACCGATCTCGGGATTCTGTCGCCTGCGTTCTGTGGTCACGCTATCACGTCAACAAAACCAACGGCAATCCAAATTTCTTTATTTGCAGCTTCCTCAAGAATCATCCTTCCAAGGTGTCCGCAACTGAGAAGTCACATCTGCCCCCTCATACCCCTAACAGAACACGAACACAAAACCAACGTACTCACAATCAAATAGATCCTACATCTCTGAATAATTATCTTATCCCCACAGCTAGCACTTATCGTACACCTAAATCAACTTGCACGTCTGACGTGAACGATTTGAGTACATGCAACGTTATTGCTTGTTTGCTGAAACCTCGTTCCGAACTACATGTTGGAGCTTTCAGAGTCCGGACCTTGTGCCAAATAGGACAATCGGCTTCGTTATTAACTAGGACTTGAGGATGTCGCTCAACAGATGTACAATGTGTTCCTTTTTTGAACGCAGTAGAGTGATTCGTTTTAATCTCACCTTGTCAAGTGATGTAGCAGTCGCAATTTGCACACTTCGCGTATCTGGAAAACACACTGTCGCTTCCTGTGGTCTAATTGGTGTAGATATAACACTAGATTGTGATATAAAACTAACTCTCTTAGACTGGATGCTAGTAGATAGTCGCTTATGCGCTGTCCGACTGAACAAGACAGTAGGGCCTCGTCGTCGTTGGCTCCTCGTTATCTGTGCCTAGGCTCCGACCGATTGCAGTTCGGATGATGTGAAAGGTGAGATTTGCAGAGAGCTTTCCGAACTCCTTCAAATGACTAAACACTGACGCAATAATAGTTGTTTGTGACTTTAATTCTCAAGTAAGTATGCTGTGCAAAATGGAAAGAGAGCTGAATGGATGTTATGGTGTCGCGGCTGATCGAAACGATAACGGTGACCGTTTACTGCAACTATGCACAGATAACTGCCAATTTCTGATAAATACTGACTTTGATCATGATGGGAAGCATCTCTTGAAATGGCGATCCCAGGAACAGAATCGATGTAGAACTCAACTGGGCCACTTCGCTATCAGCCGCCGTCGGATGTTGGATAGGAGGCTGTCTCATTTTCTGGTGTACATGTTTGTACTTAGGTTGTGCTCGAGAAACACACCAGGGGAACTTTCCAGAGCTCCAATTTTTGATAAAAGTGACACAAGTATATCATTGTATCGTAATATTAACATCTACACTTCATACAACCATATTTTTCTAAACGGATTTGTGCTACGTGTTCTTGTGGTTATGATAGAGCTGATTCTGTACCATCAACATATGCGGTAATTTGAACTAATAAACTGAGTAACAATTCATTTCATAAAACACAGAAATCGATAATACAAAATAAGTTCCTACTTTCTCCGAAACTAATTCATTTAATCTCATTTGCGTCCCTGGTGTAAACTGTTCTGCATGTAAACGTTGAAGGTCTTCATCAAGTGAAGTAGTTTCCTCAGACATTTTCTCTTCATCATCACCATGTTGATTGTCGTAATCAGACTAAAATATGAATCGGAAAAGTGATTTTCTTACTGTCATTTTTGATCAATGATTCATTAAGATGTGAAAATATTATAAATTAATTACCAATATGAGTATCAGCAATGACTGAATGATTGGCAAAACGTGGATTTATTATTCGAGTGTGTGTGATCATTTTCATACAGTCATTAGGTCAGTAGTCAGAATTAACGCATAAGCTGACTTATGTGTGTGGCGTTCTAAAGTATTACGACATACCAGTACAGCCGAATGCAATGTTCAAGATAAGCTCTGGAGTGATTAGTGATAGAAGTACTAACAGAATTTGTCATTCTAATAGAAAAGTGGTACAATGCTCCAATAAGAAGTGGCCAAATCAGAACACCATTTGATTGGCCACCATCAGAAATCTTCTGAACAAACAATGTATGTCATTGGTTAGTATGTGAATGAGTATTTCTGCATATAATTCTGTGGCTACGTACACTTTCTCATACCGATTCTCATCTTCCCACCTAACTAGCCAGCTTCCAAAGTTTGAGGAAATCACCTTCATATCACGTACACCTCACAATATAACAACAATGTTGAATCAGCATTTAGACCGTAGTCAAGTTAATATCGCTTCGTGATATCTAACCAATTAGCATACACTATCACTTCCTACCTTTGTATCGATAGCTTCCAAAAAATTTATCGTAAATTACTATCATTTCCAATTCATACATCCATAGTGTTCTAATCTGATTTGTGCTACGTGTTCATACAGTTTTTTGTAGTGATATCATAATGACAAAAATGCTTCGACTCCTCTTGATAGATTTCATACATAATTCAGTCATTTACACACAATCACCAAACCGATTCTATTCCATTCACATCTACATTCATTTGAACCAGTCAGATGAGAAAAAGTTCACTTATACAATTCAGTTAATTAAAGAGTAAATAAATAAATTCTCACCTTCTCTGAAACTAATTCTCTTGATCTTATTTCTGCCTCCGCATTATATTGTTCTGCATGTAGACGTCGAAGATCTTCAGGTAGAAAGTTATAGGTCTCTGACACGTTTGATTCAGTATCACCATGTTCATTATTGTATTCAGACTAAAATATGAACAAGGTTGCTAATTCTGTTCAGTGATATCAACTCTTGTTGAGTGCATAGCAATCATTCACGATGAATAATGATTTCCATTTACAATGTTGAATTCATCTAATGGATTTTTTCATGACGAAAAAGAACACGCTACTGTTCTGTGTGTATTTTGAATTGGTCGTGTTAATTAATATTGTCGGGCAACATGGCCCGACCTACAATTATCACTCTACATCGACTATTATTATTAATAATATTGTAGTAAACACGATCGACTGTGGACTGTAACTTTTCAGAACATGGCTGTCACGTATTGGTTTTATTTCCACGTCCGATTAGAAGCAGCCCAGTGCCACTCAATCAACTGTCTAACCTTAGTATAGAACTCGTCAGTAATATGCACTGATATGAATGAGGTATGTAATTGGATTGTAACTTTGTCATCGTATAATGGATAGGCGTTTTCTGTAACGTCTCAACACTCCGCCTTTATTCCTGTTTAAGGTACTGCCGGCTCCAAGCCCGTATAATGAGGAGGGTTGAGCATTGGGTTAGCGACAAACGCACAGCAAACTAACTCGTTGGAAAAATCGTAACCAGACAATATAATTCAAGCCATTCGAACTGTGCTCTGGGATTTATAAGGTCTTCATTTAGAAGAGTTATGTGACGTTTTATGATGCAAGCAGAATTCCTTCGGAAGTCACGAGGCCAGGGCTCATTCTGACAACCAGACAAACGATCACTTTAGGTACATTGAATGATAGTATAGTGTGGGAAACGGGAAGAGTCATCCAAGATGTTGCAGAAATGAAAAGATTCAACCTGGAGATTCTTCGATTCAGTGAAACACTTCTGACGCATGCTGGAAAAAAGACTAGCTTCTGGATAGCTGATATTATACTACTGAAACATATTTGCCTTCAACCAGCTGGTCATAGGCTGTGCCATATTCCCACATAAACGCATACACAAAGTAACATGGATTTCACTCAATCACATCACAAAAAATCCGCTCGATCACATATCCATTAATAAAAAGCTCAGAAGACCTGAGAAAAAAGAGACGAGCTGACATAGACCAGATCATCACTTGCTGGTCGCAAAGATGAAACCAATACTCCAGAAACACTAGACAGCATGACGGATAACATCATACGGCCTCGCTTCACGATACTAGAAAACTCAACGAATTCAGGATAGCTCTCAGTAATAGGTTCAAGGCTTTTCACGATCTCCTCAGTGAAGAGAAAAGTACAGTGGATGCGGACTGAAAACGGACAAAGGAAAGGATAATAACTTCAACATGTGACGAGGTTCTGCGCAACAACAAGTACCATCACAAGGAGTGTGTGATTGTTGATTCAGCTGGATAGGATTCCAGATAGGTGGAAGGACAGGAAGACAACAATCAATATCAACCAAACAAGAGTAGAGAAATCCAAGTCACAGGCTAAATACACAGAAGCGAACAAGCAAGTGAAGAGGAGCATCACAGCTGATAAACGTAAATATGTGGGAGAGCTAGCAATGACGGCAAAAACAGCTGCAGGATGAGGAAACTTGAGACAACAGGGCGATGGAACGAAGAATCTCGCTGGAAAATATCGTAAAACAGCACAACCAGTGCAGAACAAGGATGGTCAAGTGATGTCAAATAGATACTGAAGAATAGCGAAACAGGTCAGCAGAGCACTTCGAAGTAATCGTGAATCGACCAGACCCTTCGAACCGACTCAACATCGATGTAGCACACAAAATGTTGCCAACTGATGTCGAACTGCCAACAATTGAAGAGATCAGCATGGTCATCAGACAAATCAAGAGTGACAAGGTAGAAGGACCAGAAAACATTCCAGCTGAGTACACGAAAGCAAACATAACAGTAATTGCAAACGTAAAGCGCATTCTCTTTAGGAAGATTTGAGAGGAATTACAAGTACTAACAAACAAGCAAAAGATAGTCTAGAAAGGAGGTCTGAGAAAGTGTGAGAACAATAGGGGAATGTGATAGGGAGTGAAGTAGTCGAACGTGTCGACCGCTTCACTTATCTAGGGAGTCTCACCAGTGCTGATGGCCTGATGTCTGACGAAATCTCAGCACGGATACAGAAGGCTCGGTTGACTTTTGCAAACCTTCGTCACCGATTGCACAGGCGAGATATCCGCTTGCTAACCAAAGGACGAGTGTAATGTTAGGCAGTTCGCTCCTACTATACGGATGCGAAACATGGACGTTAAGAGTAGAGGACTGTCGTAGGTTATTAGTCTTCGATCACCGGTGTTTTCGAAGCATTGCTCGTGTATCATGGGACAACCTAATAAGCAATGCTATAGTTAGGAAACGAGTTCTAGCTAGGGGTGGCAAATTAATAGATGAAGTAGTGAAACTTCATCGGTTGAGGTGGTTGGGTGGGACATGTGTTACGTATGCCTAACCACCGATCGCCTCGTCGAGCTATGTTTTGTGGTGTATGAGTAGGTTGGGAGAAAGCTGGGGGCGGCCAAACCAAAACACAGCACAAATCCATGAAGTCACTGACAAGTGGACTGAGTCATGTTGGTAG